GCAATTAAGTGACCAGTGACAAGGAAAGAAAATATACGAGTTCCATTTTTATTGAAAAAGCAGCTGTTAGTGATGTCAGAAGTCTTAACTTTAATTTATGATGAGAAATGTTTGTATAAATTTAAGTGTTGAAAAATCGAACCTTTGATGTTAATCATTTTAAGAAAAAAACATCTAAAATTTAAAATAGTTTAAAATATTTAACATTGACTCTTGAATTTTTGAATATCCACATCTGATTTACACTACTTCTCGAATATATTGTAACCCTATAATTTACTAGTGAGGAGTAAAGAAAGTGGCTTGGTAGATCTTTCGCGGAACCCACCATGTATCTTTGATTGCAAGGATTTTCATAAAGTTTAGGAATCAAGTATAGTTATGGTAATTCTAATTCGTTTTGATTGTTGGGGATATAAAACATATTTAAAACAGATATGAGTTCGGTGAATTTCCTCCTTCTTCCTTACAAAGGGGGCCATGGGTATAACTTGGATTACCAATTGCAGAAATATATCGCAGTTCTTCTAAATTAAAATGAGCCTTACAAACAGACAATGCTGCTTTTATCCCAGCTGTGATGTTTTAAGGGTCCATGTTTGCTTTGTTTCCTATTTGTTTTGTGTCCATGGACTTGTGAGATTAATAATGGGTGACATTTTCTTTTTAATATATGCAGAAAATAATTCCTTATATAACATTACATATAAAGTCATTTATTGAATATTATACAAAATGCACATATTTACGAATTCTAAGTTTTAGCCAATAGGTGTATAACCATAAAGACATCTGGTATCCTTCTTAATTTTTTTTTCCATTTATGCAGGTTACCATTCAAAAAGAAATTACTTTTTGATCACGGTATTATTAAATGCTTTGTTAAGTCTCTTATTCTTCTTCTTTTAAATATTTTTAATTTAAATTCATTTAACCATCACCTGATCACCTTATTCCAATGATCTCCTATATATTTTATTACATCTAAGGAAAATGGTTTTAGGATGTAATCACAGAACGCTTTCTATTATGGCCATCACTCCATTATGTTCGATCAATTAGTCTTCATGTCTTTATGCCGTCGAAACCCATCTTTCTCCAAATTTCAATAATACAGCTGTCCGACAACTTGGTCACCAAACAAATCAATTATAACAGTTGGATTAAAATCATGATGTGTGGAATACAGAGAATTCGTTTTGTTTTTACTATTTTCAGTTAATGTAGATACAATTCTAAATCTATAAAGTACCAAAGACATACATAACTGTGCATAATAATTATTCTGTTTTTTTTTTCGGGGACTTATTTCGCAGCAAATGATTTTCTCTTGTCGTTTTTACCAATAATTCTTGTAATTCACTTCTAATCGATCTCAACATTCTTTGAATCCTTTGCGAATATCAGAAGCTTTTGTGAAATTAAAGTTCTGTTTGTCACAAATGAAACTTAAGAAAGCTATTGATTTCAGATCTTTGAAACTCAGAATAACTATAATGTATGGTCTCCGTTAGTGATCTTCAGGACAGATATACAGTTACATCCTCGCCGGTGAGAAATTAGTCTCTTTCTGCGCCCTTTGAAGGTCTCGTAATTTCAGGATACATTTCCAAAAAGCCCCGGACTTTGACATGGAAATTTTCTGGTGACCAAACGTTAACATACCATAAATAAAACTTTACAGAGTTAAAGAATGAACATATAACGCAAAAAAGTAAATCTATTTCTTTTAAATTCAATTTTGACAGGGAAATTTTCTGGTAACTATTAAACGTTAATATACCATAAAAACTCTACAGAGTTAAAGAATGAACATATAACGCAAAAATATTAAAAAGTGAAATAATGTTTCTTTTAAATTCGATTCTCAATTTGAAAAGATTGCGGTGAGCTAGAGTTGCTTATCACTGTCTCACTTCTGAATGAGTAACAAACCACATAAATTAGCTTGCTAAAAACGAAAAGACAAACAATTGAGTGAAAAAACACAAAAAACTAAGCAAAAAATTGGGATTGTAAGGGAGAGTACTCCATCACAGTGACAGGTAATGATACAAACAATTTGTCCTCGTCCAATCTTCTGCCCTTGTACCCTGTTCAAATATCCGCGGGGTAGAGGAAGGAAGAGGAACACATTGGTAGAGGAGAAATTACCCTAATATTAATTGTCATCACGAAGCCTGATTAATCTCTTAAACAAACTCAATTACAAGGTAAATGTTACGATAATCGATTTAAACAATGGATTGATTTCACCGAGGGAGGAGGGAAGCTTTGTTCTTTTTTTTTCACGAATATCAAATATGGATTTCTGGTTCACTGATGAAAGAAACGATTAGGAACCAAAAGTGTGTGTGTGTTTTTTTTTAAATGGGTACAGACAGAATTTCTAAATCTTTTATTGCAAAATTTGTGTGTGCCTGCATGTTCTTATTATTGATAATGATTTATTCAAATATATTTCGAATGTGCTTATACTTGTAGTTTTTTTTTCTTCTTCTGATCATGGGTAACTTTTTTTTTTATTTATAACATTAAGCATACTTTTTTCTGATTATGAGGTTTGTTATGATTGTTGGTGTATTTATATTTTATTTTAGTTTTTTCTGATGAAAAGTGAAGTTTTTCTGATTGTGTTTCTGATAATAAGTGTACTTTTTTTCGGTTTATAAATGCTTTTTTGAATTTAACGTTCAGTTTTTGATTAGTTGTAAATATTTCTGATTGTGTGTAGTTGTATTCTCCTGATTATGAAAGTACTCTTCCAGACTAAAATGGGTTTCTTCTGATCGGAATAGCATTTTTTTCTGCAATCTTCGACATGCCTGTATTTTACAGTAAATTGTAACTCCATTATTTTTCACTATACTTTGTTTATGTTGTAAATGATATTAGAAATCGAGAAAAAGGAACAAAAGTAAATTTAAACAAACTAGATTCTATATTTTTATTTGTACACTATTTGTAAATGAAATTATAAATAATCTTAACTTAATTTGTGAAAAAAAAACACTACTTGTATAGGTATAGACATGTTTAAAGGTAAATTTGTCTCGTTTCTGGCAGCAAGTACATATATATCTATAATTCTACAAGAAACTATCATTCACACATAAAATAAACTGTTAGATTTTCCTCTTCAATCCTTGACATGCTAACTGTGTGTAGAAGAATATAATTAACAAAACAAGTTTGCACAAAACACTTAGAATAGTAAGTGTTTTAAAGATATTTAGATAAATAAATAAATAGATAAATGAATAAATAAACTAGTTATACGAAATTTAGGAATTAGAAGATATGAATTTGAAAACTGTGTAAAGATTCTAAACATTTAGCTGTATGTGAAATAGAATGAGAAGAAATTAATTGCAATTTAATGACTAGAGGTACTGTGAGCAATGAGCTCACTAAATGATACCCCCCGCCTCCCATATGAATAAAAAACTGGAAAATCCAAAATATATGTCAGATCAAAAAGTAAAATAGGAGGTGCACAAAATATGTAATAAAGATTCTGTGAAAGTTTCATTAAATTTCATTCAGTGGTATGAGAGGAGTTGCAATTTAATGGACATTAATGAATACCCTCCCGCTTTTACCATGAAATACCCGGTGCAATGTTCTGCAGACGCATCCTCAATAAAATTAGTTATACACCACATAGAATTGAGAAAATAATTCATTGAACAATAAAGTGTATACCGTTTACTAGTATAGAGAATATGGTCTAAAGTCTTTATCCAAAGAAAAAGTAGCCTATTTAAAAGGAACAAACGAGAAGTAAATGTCAGGAATCCTAAAAAAACCAAAGCTGATTAAAAAAATACTCCACTATTGTATATAATCAAAAGAAAGTTTCTGTTAAGCGGAGTTTTTTCCAAGCCAACGAGCCAAATCTGCATTTTTTTTCAATATTATTTCCAAACAAAGTCGACACCGAAACAGATTTTAGATGCAATCTTAAATTTCTGTCCTGTTTTTTAGGCTACGGACGATTAATCGTCATCCTGAGTATCACTTCATGTGGTCTTCTCTGATTGAAACAGCAGGGCTGTGTCAAAAATGGGCATAAAATCAGAAACTTATTTAATAACCGGTGATGGAGAGCGGACCAGCAACACAAATGGACGATATTGCATTTGTCTGGTATCTCAAAATGTTGATCACCAACAGAATATCATGGGAAATTTGAATAATTGCAATATTTTTATTTTTCGTTCTTTTAAAATCAAGCCCTTCCCAAATGTAAGATGCTTTATATAGAATTCTGTAAACGAATTTTTTATAACTACTGGGTTTAAACCCAGATCTTTAATCTTTAATGATCTATTTCTGTTTTTAAAGTGTTGCAAAATTCACTAGAAATCATCAAAAGTTATATAATCAAAGAAATAGGAAAAAAGCGATCATACAACTTAAAAGTTATGAACACTATCGAGAGAATTCGTGTGTTTGTCGTCACCCTTTAAACTTTTTTTGGCGTCAAATTACAACGCAGAAAAGTGTTGAACAGAAAAATTAAGCTTTAGATATGTATTTACAACTTCTCATTTTCCGCTTGTGGATTAGATACAATCTGAATATATTATTTACAATATCTGATTTTTTAAAAAAAGAAATATTGACAGAACTCGTCAGGTTACCATTTTCAAAATGCAAAATCATGATATCATATTAAAAAGGCAAAAATCGAAGAACTATGCTTCTCCACCGATAATCTTAAAATTATTTATTTTACAAGTTAAAGAAAGCTTCATATTAAGTCAATATAAGAACTTCATTTTTATTTCAAAGGTTTTTTTTTCATATAAAATATTTTTTTTAAAATGGACACAAAATGGTTAAACAATGTGCGATTGTTTTTCTTATATGCATTAGGATTTGATTAAATAAAAACTGAAACTTTTGGATTTCTAGAAAAGAAATACATCTTTCTTTGGGATTTTGTAAAGAAATAAATTCAAAACTTGTCATGTTGAAGTAAAACACAAACTTACCTTTTAATCCGGATTCTCTAATTACTTTTCTTTTGACTACTGGTCGATTTTATACATAGGCAACACCCTGTTCTCACGCGCACATATGCTTATTTTTCTTCAGTATCACTCCCACTGTTTAGTACGACAATCCGGAAACTTATACGTCACCAGTTCGCGAATTTCATTATCCATCGATCGTGTTTGAAGTGTACCAATGGATTTAACGTTAAAATTAGTTTGAATATTCCATTTTATCGCGCATTTAGTACCATCAATCATAGGAACAAATTGACGATTTTCTTGTAGAACATTATTACAATCAGGGATCATAGTATCAAGTGATTTCAACAAAGAAAAACATCAATGGATCTAGAACATTTTGATTATTTAGATCAAACGCGAACATATATCAACCGAGTTTATCATTAGGTATTTTTAAAAATATGTTTGCAATATTGAATGATATGATACGTAATTGATATTACATCTACATACCTTTTTACTTAAAGAAGATATCGTATCGTTTCTGTCTATTTTTGTGACGAAAAAATGACATCTTATTTAAAGTAAACAATAAAACTTTTTAATAAAATGTTCTGCAAAACAAGTTGTTAAGAAAAGAAATTATTTTAAATTTGACACTACCATGACAAACGATTGACGAAGACATAGAACGTTTAGAAGTTCCAAATCTTGACACTCAGGTGATTTTTTTTTTTTTGTAAAGCAATTGATAAGCGGAGTTTAAAACAGTTTAATATTTCTCGTCAAGTAAAACAGTAAACCCTTTTTTATAAATACATAATATAATCTAAGTGGATTCATAAGTGCAAAGATTTATTTGCATAGAAAAAAGGGGGTAGAAATTATATAAAAGAATGAATATGCTATGCAATAAAACTGCTATGCAGGGTTAAAATTGAAAATGTGCTATACAGTGAAATTGAGAGACACCAGCAGTAAATTCTATTAAAGGGGGGGAGTGGTGTTGAGAGATCAACAGTGTCAGGCTCTAAAACTGTGTTAAGAGAAGATGAGATGGTGATGGTGTCTTCAGTAAAACTTTACTGGAAAGCGACATTGCCATACAGTAATACCCTGTCATTAAGGGTTGAAATATTGTACATACATACATGTACATTAGATGCGATAACATGCAGTAAAATTGTGATGTACAAAGGAGTTAAGTTTATGACAGTGTCGTGTAATAAAGTTGTGTTGAAATAGAGATAATGACAAATGTATGTAAAACACACCTGTAGTAAAAAATTAAAGAAAGTAACTATGTCATACAATAAACCTCTGAAGAAAAAGTAGAGATGGTCACAGTGCCCTACAATAAACGTGATGAAATGGTAGAAATGGTGAGAGTGACATACAATAAACCCGTTAAGAAATAGTAGATATGGCGAAGGTGACTTACAATAAATGAAATGAAATGGAAGAGTTGGTGACAGTTACAATAAATTAACTTGTAATGAAATAGTAGAGATGGCGACAGTGCCATACTATAAACATATGTTAAAGGCAGTTGAGATTGGGAAAAACCAATGTATATACTAAGTTTATCTCTGCGTTCTCCAAATAAAAATTTCATGTACAAAAAGATAATATTTTAAATGTTCTTTAAAAATTCTTTATTACAATAATTAGCAGTTGTACTCATATCTGAAGGCTAAAATAAAAAATGAACACAATCTACAGTTAAAAATACTACTTATTTATGCTTAAGTCAGCATAAAAAAATGTCGAGTATCTTGAATATGAAGGCCTTTTGACTCGCTAGTACCTCAGTTTAAATAAGCATAATTTACCAATTTGTACTGAAATAATTCAACAAAAATAGATTTATTCCAGGGAGGATGGTAATAAGATATCCACCTCCTAAGATAATTTTATTGGATTAAACACGACAAAGCCAGGTTCAATTACCTTGATAATATGAATTGTCGCCGTTCTTAACAAGGCTCATCATTTTTCTGTAAATGACTAAATTGAGATTTTTTTGAAAAAAATTATTATTATACAGAGTTAGCATTTGCTCTTAACATTTCAAAGATTGTTTAAACATTTCTTCCAATGAATCATTTCCATGTATAACTCTATAGACTTTAGGAAAATACTCGGAGGATCCTTATATCAATTAAGTCATTCCCTGGCTTTTTTGACGTTCTAACCGTAGTACGTCCGATTCGAGGAACTATATTTGTAATAAGAAACAGTGGGTCACCAATCCTGTTTGGAGGTGGTAGAGTGTTGAATTCTGTCGGACATTCTTGATTGGAATATGTAGATAACAAACAGTACATCAATCAAGCTCAAAAGTCCATTCAAACCGGGAGCAGGGCAAATACGGAACTCTTATAACTTCAGAGGAGGGATCAGTTGCCATGGAAAAGTAAGCATCCTCTGTAGACCGGTCACACCAGCCGTGTGTTCCTTGTCCGGAAAAAAACCGTAGACAATCAGGGTATAAATAATGGCATAATAAAAAACATCAATCAGCATTTGACTCAATCATAGATTGTATTTGCTGTCAAGGTCATCGTACCGACCAAAGAACCTACGATACGATGACTTTATATAAGACTACTGATATTTTTGTTTCACCAACTTGTTTGTCGATAGCCAGCCTCCTCTTGGAGATTATACGTATGTATAGCATGCTCTAGCGTATCGAATCAGATAGGAGACATAGACTCCATACACAGGATTGCTACGTAATGAAGAAAAGTTGTCGATAGAAAAGTTGAAGTCATCAAGTTCATTTAAAGTTTTATGGTTACCATCAGCGTCTTTTCCTAGTAAAATATTCAAATAAAATTAACAACAATAACATTAAGTAAGTATAATGTAAATGTCAAATTAATCTCTAATCATGCATTTTGTCACACTTGGTTGATTTACTAATTAATTCATAAGAAAAAGGTTGAAGATAACGAACAGCTAGTCATCAGTCTCTGAATGACTGTAAACAATTGATGCGAATCGTGAACAGAGGAAAAATACGAACCGACTGAAATACCAGAGGCGGAACGGGATACCTAAAAGAAAAAAATCCCTCGTTGACCGATCATGTACATGTAGTCTAAATTTATTAGTTACTAGTTACATATTGACCAACATTGACCTTACAATTGGTCAATCAAAATACGACATGCCCATCTGACCAGTATAATATAAGTAATATTTTCAAGGTCAACATATATAAGGACCATGGAAAATTATGAATTGATGACATTAAAAAAGGATTTAGAAAGCACTGTAACATTGACTTTTTTGTCAATGGCTGCCCCGGTTTAAAGTTACGTAAAATAGCAAAATGTGAATGATCAATCGCAAAAATTCTTCCAATAAGTTACTTGAACAAATTCACAAAAAATATCATTCTAGTGAAATTCACAAAAATTATTCAAATAACATGAGACATATATGGCTATGATAAAAATTACTGTCAGTGTTTCATATGATAGCAAATGTTACTATGGAATATATGGGTGTTTCATATGTGTACATTTGCTTTTTCATAAAATTAACATGATGCCTAAAACTAAAATCAAAACTAAATTTTAAAGGATTTTTTTTACTTTTTCATATCATGGCTATGTATAATTTTAAGTTTACTATCAGTGTTCTACCCTTAAATGATCAAGTGCACAAATGTGTATATTAAAGCAATATATGGGAAATTTTCAAAAATTTCATTAATTGTAGTTAATTAACAAAGATTGCATTGAATTTGGGAAAAAGCGTTTTTTTTTTCAAAATAAAAATTCAAATAATTTGAATTTCCTAAAACTGTGGTAAAATCAAACATTAAAAATTTTGAAAACAAAGCTAAAATTTTTTTAATTGATTTTTTTTTTTTTTTTTTTACAAAATTTTTTAGGACACATCATCATCAAGGTCTACTTGGTATTGTATATTATTTCAAATATTTTTACCACTGTTCAATGCATCTGAAAAGCGGTTTTAGAAATGACAGAACTTTGCAATGCTGGTATACTGTAAATAAAGCATCAGATTCTAGCTCTAAAGGAACTGTTTGATCTCCTTCAGCCCTAGATCTTGGTCATCTTCAGCGGTTGGTCAAGACATCAATCAGTGAGTACAAATATTGGAGGTGACATATAATAACGAATGATCGGCGGGTCCTCGTCGTTTATTACTTTTACTCTATCAACACATTGACTCAGAATCAATGTCATGGATTGATGGCTTTTCCGGAGGCAGTTTGTACAATGTTTTCCCTGTAACTTTAGTCCGTCCATGACGAATGTTGCTAAAGGGCCGAGACTTCAAAGACTGGGGGTGTAGTTAATGGCGCGTAAAATATTGAAAACCAATATTGGTTCAAAGGTAGTACAGAATTACATATACAACTTCACATTCTTACTCAGATTGGTATGTATTTGTTAAAATTTAATTAATTCATTTACACTATTATATATTGTCGTATATTAATTTTCAAACTGAAATTGATAGGGTATATATCATTTTTCAGAACACGGGTTTGAATGCATTGTACCTATTATAAATTTTAAACAGTTGATGTGATAGGCGACGCAAAAAGATGCTCTACGTACGAAAAGTTTATAAAACGAGGTAAGTTACTGACACACAAGTTTATAAAGTTAGTTATCACTGCGGAACACAGCTCTGTAGTCGAAACAGTGACCTTGTCAGCAAATACAATCCATCATTAACACAAATCCTAAATGACATCTTTCTTACTATGCAATTGTTAGATCATTATTTACACTGAATAATCAATGAATTTTCCTGTTATTTTCCTATCATGTCAAGGAGCATACGGCGGGTGTAACTTGTGAGCGGGCATGCTCACTCCTCCTTGGCACCTGATCCCACCTCTGACGTTTTAGATGTCCCTGTTTACCCCGCTCATGATAAGTATTGTTTGAATGGACTTTTGAGTTTTAATTTGCATATAGTTCCGAAACCAAATTCCTATTGCAATGAGTATTTGTTGCCTCACTCTTACTCAGGATTACTACACCTTATACTTCATCACAATGCCTTGGCTAAATATATAGGGTATCGGGATTAGGAGGGGAAGAACCAATTCTCCATTTTTGACTTTAAAACAGTATTTTATTACATTGTAATTAACGAATATATAATTATATGTATACTTTCAAATTAAAGTTGCATTTAAAAAGACAGTAACTAGTGTTAATTTTAGTACGATCCAATGGTGGTCTTGTTGTAAGCGAATATCAGAGTTGAAAACTTGAAGACAACAATTTTACTTAATTGTGTGAATTCTGCAATAAATAAATCGTAATTCTTTGGAGCTAGTACAGTAGAACTCCATGTTCCTTGTTCAGTCGCGTGCGCGGACTAAATCATATGGCGACAGGCGATTCGACGTGACTAGTGTGTGAACAGTCTTTCAAACTTTGAGATTGGAAAGAAATTTTATTCGTTTTAAAAAATTATTAAAAACTTATTTATTTACTACTGCATACCCAGATTATAAGAAGCTACTCTTATTTGTTTTAAATTTTTAAATTTAAATTATCTTATAACATGGGACATTACAGCAATTAACATGTATAAATATTTCTTATCTTTTTAAAAGTTTATTTATGTATATTCTTATAGCTTTAATTTGTAATCTTTTAAAAGTTTATTTATGTGTATTCTTACGGCTTTGACACGTATTTTTAGTTCTATAGTGCTTGTAATTTTTATGTTTTATGCTTATATTTCTATGCTTATATTTTATGTACAGCGCTTTAGAGTAATTTTATATTATATTTAGCGCTTTATAAATTGTGTATAATAATAATAATAATAACAATACATCTCTATAACTGATAAGAACTGTGACGACATAGCCTACCGTAATTCGAATACTAGTACATTGTAGTGTGTGAATTAGTCTGTACATGATATTAATCCTTCAATCTGCTAAAAGATAGATAATATTACATAGGACAGAGCATATTTAATTTAATCAAATCTATATTTCACACTGAAATTTAATACACAAAGAACTGTCTTTAACACCTTACAACTTACTGTACTGTAATGCAACATACAGAATTTAATGGAAAAAAAAATTTCCCCACAAGCACCCTAGTTTTTATATTTTATATTTCAATACAGAAATATATATATTTTTGCAAGTATAAAATAGAAGAAAATAGTCATTAAAGTAAGGTTTAAATGAACATTTTAAAGTGCGTTAAAATGCGTGATTGCGGGGAAACGGTGTATGCGTGATTTTGCGTTAGAAATAGGAAATGGTATATGCGTTAAAATGCGTGACTGCGGGGAAGGGGGTTAAATCCTAGTTTAATAAAAAAAATCCTATTTTAATTTTAATTAATATATATACAATATCTTTTATGCGTAGGCGGCTATAAATAGGTATTTTTTACTGAGTGTAAATGTATCTGAAAGAAAAGTGCTTAACACAAAATATGATTAGAAATAGAGTATATTTTTTTGTGAAAAAAAATGAAATTCTTTGTATACACGTGTACACAACTCTGCTGTCATTCTACAATCATTCAGAAGCACATTGAAAATAACCAGTATTACTTCTGTTTGAAGTAATACCCATGTCACATATAAAGGAATTAAAAAAATAATAAAAATAACATGAAACAACCTTCAACAAAGTGACATCCAAGAAAATAATTGAATGTCATAAGTCACAATACATGTATTCAACATACTTTGCTATACATCAAAGATTTGTATTTACAATTCATTAAAAAGTTATTAAAATTATATTTTAAAATATGAACACTACTCTAAGAAGTGTGGATAATATTTAGACTGAATTTTGAAGTGTCATCACAGGCTCCGGCAGCTGGGAATAATTCCTTTCAAGAAAAATTAAAAGTGCAATAAATTAAATAACTGGAATTTGATAGATAAAATCACTGAATTTGCAGAAAATTAAATCAAGACATAATTGTAGGATGCCTGTCCAACAGTGCCACTAGATTCCTTGGTCTCAACCTGGGTTTGATTTTATACCCATGTTGTCCAATATAGATTTATCAACTTTACAAGGTTCTAAGGTTATGGAAATCAGTTAGAGATAGCATTTAACTGTATCTGTCCCAAATCCTGAATGTGACATTTCATCAACCTAATAATATTATTTAAGAAATAGATATCATTTTTAGAGTGTCATTGGGATATGAAGGGAGTTATAGTAGATTTGATCACGTACCGACTTCATGTCATATCCCATTGACACTCTAAAAATGATATTTTATTTCTTATATTTATATTTTTATCTTTATTACAAAGACAAAATGCTCTATTTAGATTTTGTTATTGAATGCAAACATAACGTATAAACACGACGTCATATGACGTCACAGTCAAGACTTTCCAAATGTCTCATGCAGTTTGCTTTCCATATGCAAGAAAGTCTGATCATGTGACTGACTGCATGTCATTGAAAATAGAATTTCATTTTTTTTAGTATTGTCATATAAGGAAAGACACTGACAAATGTAAATATATATATACTAAATCTATATATTATTATGGTGGCATATTTCTGCATGTTAACATAATTAATCTTGCATATAGCATGTAGGGGGCAGAAATATGCCACCATATATAATGCCTGATGAAAGTGCAAACATACTTTCCTTCACAAATGATGCCAAATAATAATTGACAAATAAGAAAGCACAATAGAAGGTTAAGACAGAAAGTTAAGATAGTGATATATACACTGTACATATTTAGATGTCTTGTAGAGTTGGCCCTGTGTAATCAGAACTGTCACACCAAAAATCTCTAGGTTCATCAATTTCATTCAGCCACTGGACCTGTAAATCATTGAATTCATCTGTATCCTCCAACAGGGTGTAATACTGACATGTCCTAGTCATGGTTTCATAGTCATATGGCGGGGCCAAAATGTCCAAAAACGCCGCCATATCACCAACCGCTCGGATTTCATGAAAATTACCGGAATCCGGTGTCAGCACGCAACATTCGTCCTCCTCTGAGAGGCAAGCACTGTCTTTTTTATTCACAGGTATTACATTAGAAAAAGGAAGAGTACTCATTTTCCTCATTATTACATCATCTGACATAACTGCCCTACTGTAGCTTTCAACTTTCATTTCTCCATGAATAGTTTTACATAAACCATACATCCCTGGATGATCATGGAGGGGCAATTTTGCTCCATTTCTCATCACGAAAATGCCAACACTCATCACTCTGTCCTCGTACAGCTTAACATACGTAACAGGTGCTTGTCTTCCCCGAAAGTTCGACGCATCGAAGTCCACATCGGATGCTCTGATTTGATCCAAAAGGGACTTTATTGGCGACAGTGACCCTGTATCAACAGCGATCCCTTTTGACAATTTAGAAAATGTCGAATGGGCAAGTTTTAGAACTTTTTGTATTGGAAATGCCATGTTTCCCCAGATGGCTTATTTGAAAGTGAAAGTAGAACAAATATACATAATAAACTGTACGTAAGTATTTCGTATTTATCAGAAATGGTTCTGCTGGTTGAAAAAAGTATGATATTTCATATTTCTGCAAAAAAAATGACGCTGCATTTTTCAGTGTTTTTTAACTCTGCTCTCTGTTCCTTAGCTTCGAATGTGTTTACGATTGAACTAACGAGTGCTATAAGAATATCTCGGGCCTTTTTCTAGTCTCGTTCAACCAGACCCTCGGCTGTCTCCGTAAATCTCCGACCACCCAGAGGTGGTCGGAGATTTACGGAGACAGCCGAGGGTCTGGTTGAACGAGACTAGCCTTTTTCTACATTTTTTTGTGAGAGTCCCGAGATATTCCGGATGGTGTCATATAAATTTTGGGTCGTTGGACTGTTTGAAATTACGAATTTTTGTTATTACGATTCTCAAAATCATTTCATACATTGAATGTTTGCAAAACATTGTGCAACTTGTTCATGTTGTTGAGTAGATCATAGATGGAGGAACGAGCCACTAGGGCTGAAACGATTCACCGAAATATCGATATTGTTCGATATAAGTGCTCGGTTCAATTTTCGATTCACCATCTCGATTTTCGGTTCGATACGTTTTTTTATAACTCTGTGAAATAGATCGGGTTCGACCTTATTTTAACAGTTTGACACACACGAGGGAGAAAATTGGGACGGTAAAGTTTCAGAGTAGGCTGCCTCTGCTATTATTTATACGAATAAAGTGTTCTTAATCAACAGAACCACAAGTATCAGAGATGTGCAATTAACAAATTAGTAAATTCGGGCTAGTAAAAATTATAACTACGCATGTAATATACATAAAGTACAACCGGTATTTTACTCATTTTTTGCTATCAAATTCCCAACCAGTGAATATTTTCCAGGCAGCATGCTCCTACTGTCAATAAATCTCCATAATTTTCTCCATTTTGCAGTACTTCCTGACTTATTTACTTCCAAAAACGATCGTTTTTTTCCTAATCCGAATTTCCTCCGTTTATTGTAAATACATGCCGATATCTCATTAAAATTATTTACGATCACTAATCAACTGAAAGATCAGTGTGATTCACATGAAATATATTTTTAGTGTATTTAAGGATTTAATATGAAAACAAAATGAATTTATTTTCATTCTAAATGAGCTAGTGCAAAATAATCAGAAAAGGAAAGATCTTCAGATATTTTTTTTTTTAATTCATTTTTATTTTCTGTCATAATCATTAATTTTATATGATTTAATTTTAATAGTGAGAATAAAATTTTAATTTTCAAAAGATTGACCTTAGTACCCTGACTTTTTCAATGATTAATTTTTTTTTTCAACATTTGTTTTATTTTAATTTTTGTCCCTATATTTGTGCTAATAACTCTTTACTTTGGGCTAGTAACTTTATTGCTGCCACTAGCCTGTGGGCTAGTACTTGAATTTTTAGATTGCATACCCCTGGTAGTATATTTCTATTGTATCACCACCTTTTACTCTTTGTTTTTTTAAATCTGAATACGTTTTCTTTAATCTTATGAATAGTTTCGTTCTTAAATTGTATCGTATTGAAAAAATTGAATTGTGACACAAGTATTGCAATACGTATCGTATCGTGGAGGGGGCGTATCGTTTCAGCCCTACGAGCCACATTGAAGAAAACTGCCAGAAGCCAAAAGGGACACATACTGTAAATCAAAAATAATATTGACCATCGGACAGGACACTACGAAAATGAAAAGGTGTCACAAAGGGATCTTAGGTATAAGAAAAGATCCAAAGAACCAGATTTTGTTCTCTTTTTCTGCAAGAGAGGGAGAAGAATGGCCTTCGGATGATTCAGATTCGGATTTTGTACCTTCTGATGAGGAGGATTTAAGACCAAAACGGTGTGTTGGAGGATTGTATTAGCCTAGTTTGATCCATTTAAGGTTGTTGCTATATTTGTGTAACTGTTGGACAAAAACATTTTTAGCTCACCTGAGCTGAAGGCTCAAGTGAGCTTTCCTGATCACATTTTGTCCGTCTGCCTGTCTGTCCCTCCATCAGTCTGTAAACTTTTCACATTTTCAACTTCTTTTCAAGAACCAATGGGCCAATTTTAACCAATCTTGGTACAAAGCATCCTTGGGTAAAGGGGAGTTTAAATTGTTAAAATGAAGGGCCAAGTCCCCTTACAAGGGGAGATAATCAAGAAAAAACAAAAATAGGGTGGGGTCACTAAAAAATCTTCTTCTCAAGAACCACCGAGCCAGGAAAGCTGAAACTTATGTGGAAGCATCCTTGGGTAGTGTAGATATTAAGTTGTTAAAATCATGACCCGGGGGGGTAGGGCGGGGCCACAATAGGGAATCCAAGTTTTACATGGAAATATATAGAACAAATCTTTAAAAATCTTCTTCTCAAGAACCACTGGGCCAGGGTAGTCTTATTCATCTCATCTGAACAAAAGTTTCCATAATTAATTTGGTAATAGGAAAAAGAAGAAGCAAACCAAATCAAATGAAAAACCAACCACAGGGCATTCCAAGGAACCAAGTATTTCTGTGAAGACGGGGAGTGCATGTGTCAGCTTGCCAGAAGAAATATGGACTTACATCTTTCAAATTATTGTGAAAGAGACAGGCCCATTGCCTTTTTTATGCAGGTTACTTTTTAACAAAGAAAATATAATTTTAAATTTTGAAAAAAGCAGTTCAGACCATTTATTGTCTTTTTTTAAACTTAAAATTTAAGTAAATACGTAGCCTAAAAATAATTAATCTATTTTCCCCCCCAAGAATTTAACATGTGTTAAAAATATCATCTTTTCAGAGCAGCAAAAGTATGCCAGTTATGGCGTACTCTTGCAAGTCATCCATCTTTGTGGAAAAAGGTTGACCTATCATTTGGATGGATACGTCCAAAAAAGGACACTCTGAGATGGCTAGTCAAAGAGAGGTTAACCCAATGCACACAGGTTAATCTCACAAACTGGACCATAACCAATGACCAACTGAAGGTACCAACAGCATTCATTTGGTTTCACTCAAAGAATATAAATTTTTGTACATTAGATAATAGTGCGAGAGGTAGAAAGAAATGTATTCTATCAGTGTCTATAGCAACACACTACACTCTGGTTTTTTTTAAATCATCTAATACTTTTTTTAAAAAATATATATCCATTATATTCCCTTTATTTTTTCAACTTTGAACCATTTTACTTCTAGAAAAAAGTATCTTTATCTCACTCAGATTGCCTTTGTCATGAAATTGAGAAATCCAGTCTGATATGACTGAGAATGAAACTAGTACATATGTACATACACTTTTTCTTGTAGATGGTACTGCAGAACTGTCCGGAATTAAGAAATATAAATCTTTCTTACTGTAAAAAGTTATCTCAGGATGGATTTACAGCCCTGGTAGAAAACTGTCCAGGGTTACAGAAGTTAGATGTCTCCTTTACGACAGTATGTTGTTTTCTTTTTAATTAACTTAAAGTCTCATACATAAAATTTACATGTATAACATGTATGAGATGTTTTTTAACCTCAACATCTAAAAGCTTTGGTATCTGAGAGTTTTTACCTTGGTTACACTTACTTCAGAATATCGGTACTGAGGTTTTGTTGTACACCTATTTCTTTTCTTACATTTTCATTGTATGTAACAGATTGGTGCCAATGCGATAAAAGATATTGTTGTAAAACATGGACCTCAACTGAAAGAGCTACATTTAGGAGGAAACTACTATGTAAACTTTTCAGCTCTTGCAAACAGCCTATTTGTAAGTTCATGAATTTTCTAAGCACTTATTTTATGTTTTTATTAGCTATAATTATTTTCATGTGTGCAATGTCAAAGTAAATTGAGAAGTTGTTCCCCTTGAATTATAAATGGACATGTTTATCTTGTAGGAAAATTGTCCCAATATAGAGGTGTTAGATGTATCCAACTGTCGATTTTCAGGAGATTATGAGAGTATTAATGTGCAAAAGTTTCAGAAAGGCTGTCCCAAATTACGAATCCTTCGAATGGGGAGTTCTAAATTCAGATTAAAGGTAACATAATCTTTATCAACAAAAATGGGGGAAAATTACACATTTTCCCTCAAAAGTAAATCCTTTCTTCTGAAAGATATCTTTTATAGTTAAATGCCTTTTTTAAAAATAGAAATAGAATAAATGAAAGATCACTGTTACGGCTAAATAAAGCTAAATAAAGCCTTGTTTTAAAACAGAAAGTGAATGAACAGCTGACAGGATTTGAAGAACTAGAGGAGCTAAGTTTGGGATGCTTAGACAGGAGTAAGAGTGGTGGAATCAATACCGCCTTTGTATATGAGTAGGTGTCACTCAAATTTTATTTTATGGTATCAAAATGAGGAGGGAGATTTTTACTGTAAATGTATTTTAAAAAAACAGTTTTTGAGTAAAATATGTTTATTGGGAATATGATTATAATGAATTGACACTTACCTTGAAGAAGATTTTTTAAATAAGATTTTCCATCCCTGGCACTGTTTTACTTTACTAGGGTCCTGGTAATCAGTTTAAAACTGTAACACCAGTGACATATTACATAACAAAGATAGGCACTTGCCTTTTCAATTTTAAATTACGTATAGATAAAATAAATTTCTCATTTATTGTTTGAATTTTAGCATTCTAGTGAAATCCTCCAAGTTAAAACTCTTAGATCTTGGAGGTTGCTGGAACATGGAAGATATGTCCCCCCTTTTGGGCCTCCCTTTCACAGAACTTGAACAGCTCTATCTCTCCAGTTCTCCAATAAGTCTCAATTACCTACTGGGGCCCCTACTACAAAAGGTAGGTGTCTAAATTATAAAGTGTCTATATTATATACTGGGGCCCCTACTACAAAAGGTAGGTGTCTAAATTATACACTGGGGCCTCAAGTGCTGAAATTAAATCTAAAATGTAAAGAGTCTCAATGTATTAAGGTACATAAAGTCATCACAAATGTAGTATAGAAACTTCTTTGAGGACTATATACATGCCCAAGGAGCTATTTAGTTCTCTCAAAAAAAGCAATTCAAGTTACCAAATAGTAAGAAATTGCTGTATTATCTGGGTATATTTCGTACATTTCTAGTGTGACTCTGGAGGTTAAATGCACAGAGTATATCACTAGGTTTTACTTTAATGTTTATTTAAATTTTTCTTTGCTATTTTCTTCAGTGTAGCATGAGCCTTAGAATTCTGCACATTGATAAAAACATCTTCAAGGGAGACTCGTTAGATACTGCTCTACAAGAATTGTTCTTCCCTCAGCGTGGTGCTAGTGTTCTGGAGATGGTGAACGCTGCAGAGACAAACATCACTCAGGCCAGTGTAGAGTAAGTTTAGACATAAATAAACAGTAAATCAACGAGTATGGGTGGAGATTTTTAAATATGTCATTAATTTTTGGTGTAAACACTCTCAAACATTCAATTATAAGCTGCTTTGAATTTATAAAGCAACAGTGTTTTGTTACTGGATAATTAAAATAATTTATAATTATATTGCATATGGAGTATAATTTTATCAGAAAGGCATGAAATGTTAAGACTCTTTGAAGAACAATGGATTGTATAAATCTCACCTCTGTTTTCAAAGGTCAATATTTGCTTTGCTCACACTCTGTATTGTTTAATTGACTTTGAGCGCTATTCTGTTATCTGTACATTTTGTCTTTTAGAAATATCCTGAGACACTGCGGGAGACTTCACTACATCAATCTCTCATCCTGTCGAGCCCTGCCTCGAGGAATAAAGCGCGAGTACAAGAACGCAGAGATAAAAACGTTAAAGTCATTCTGTGGCATCAAATGAACTATCCCAGTGGTAGACTGTTGTTGCAGGTTCTTTCCTACAACGATTTTTAAAGCAGACACTTTCTAACAATGATTTTGAAATCAGAATCAGGAATCGAAACAGTCTTCAAGTTTTGATGAACCCAGCTAAGATGTGAATAGATGAAGTTCAAAGAATTCTGTATTAAACTCTTGAGACAATTACAGTTTAAGCAGATGACAAGTTTTATCAGGAATTCACATGACTAATGATTGTATTATTATGATCAAGTCTATTGATCTAACATCAGGAAGAGTAACTCAGGAATTCAGTTTAAATTTCAGGTACATGAATAACATAAGTCTAGCTTGAAATGTTTGCTCAAGTACAAGAAACATTTTTATCTGGTGCCTGATCAATGTACAAGTTATTCTGTTTTGATTTTATTCTTAACAGAAATATTTTATATGTTTCATTTTTAGACCTTTACATTATTTATATAGATTGAATTTGTTAGGAAGCAGTCCTTGATTTTTGATTGAATTAAAAATATATTTCTGCTAATTCATCATTAAAAAAGAATATGTATCAATTTTTTTCTGGTTTTTCAAAGTTTGTTCAAATAATGGCCCTGTGGCAAGAGTGAGTCCACACTAATGAGTCAATAACATCTCACCATAATTGGGAACATTCTTGTCTTCAAATGGTTTTGGTGCAGGTCTGATTCTTATAAGTTATATGGTGGCCAAACTTGCCTGTATGATGCATCAAATGATACACACATCCAGATATGATTCTGATGTTGCATCCTGCTTACATTTTCCCTATGCTGAACAGAAATTCTGGTTAATTGAACAGGAAAAGTTTTGAAGCAATACTATACCTCAGTCATTGCTGTAGGAACTGGGGGTGGGGTGGAGGCAATTATTTTGCCGATATAATAGAATACCTTAGGCTTTAATATGACTTTTTAGCTCACCTGAGCCGAAGGCTCAAGTGAGCTATTCTGATCGAAATTTGTCCGTCGTCTGTCATCGTTGTCATTGTTGTCGTAAACTTTTTACATTTTCATCTTCTTCTCAAGAACCACTGCACCAATTTCAACCAAACCTGCCACAAAGTATCCTTAGGTGAAGGGGATTCAAATGAAGGGCCATGCCCTTATTCAAGGGGAGATAATTCAGAAATAGTGAAAATTTGGTGGTATGTTTAAAAATCTTCTTCTCAAGAATCACTGTGCCAGGAAACTTGAAACTTATAGGGAAGAGTGTAGATTCAACTTTGTTCAAATCATGACCCCTGGGGTAAGGGCGGGGCCACAATGGCCAATCAAAGTTTTACCTAGTAATATATTGGGAAATTCTTTAAAAATCTTCTTCTCAAGAATAGCAAAGGCATGAATGATCATATTTATATGGAAGCATCCTCAGGTAGTGTAGATTCAAATTTGTTCAAATCATGACCCCCGGGGCCACAATGGCCAATCAAAGTTTTACCTAGTAATATATTGGGAAATTCTTTAAAAATCTTCTTCTCAAGAATAGCAAAGGCATGAATGATCATATTTATATGGAAGCATCCTCAGGTAGTGTAGATTCAAATTTATTCAAATCATGACCCCCGGGGGTAGGGCGGGGCCACAATGGCCGATCAAAGTTTTACATAGAAATATATAGGAAAATTCTTTAAAAATCTTCTTCTCAAGAACCAGTGTGCCAGGAAAGATGAAACATATATGGGAGCATCCTCAGGTAGCATAGATTCAAGTTTGTTTAAATCATGACCACTGGGGGTAGGGAGGGGCCACAAATGCCGATCAAAGTTTTACATAGAAATTAATATATAGGGAAATTCTTTAAAAATCTTTTTCTCAAGAACCACTGTGCAAGTAAAGATGAAATTTATAGGGAAGCATCCTCAGGTAGTGTAGATTCAAGTTTGTTCAAATCATGACCACCGGGGGTAGGGAGGGGCCAAAATGACTGATCAAAGTTTTACATAGAAATAAATAGGAAATTCTTTAAAAATTATCTTCTCAGGAATAGCACAGGCATGAATGACCATATTTATATGGAAGCATCCTCAGGTAGTGTAGATTCAGGTTTGTTCAAATCATGACCCCCTGAATTGCTGAATTAAATACAAACAATTATAACATGGTTTGCAGGGCAAAATTTGACAAAAAAGGCACTTTAACTTGACAAATAATAGACATTTGTGTCAATAAGAGTTATCTCTCTTATCAGAGTATCAATGTACCTTAAATAGAAATATGTAGAAAAATTCTTTAAAAATCTTCTTTTCAAAAATAGAAAGCCATAATTAGTCATGTTCATATGGAAGCATTCTCAGGTAGTGTAGATTCAAGTTTGTTCAAGTCATGACCCCTGGGGGAAGGGCGGGGCCACAATGTAAGTTCAAATGTAAAGGGCAATAAAGCCACAGGTAGTCAAAGAAATATGCAAACATCCTTAGATAGTGTAGATTTAAGTTTGTTCAAATCATACCCTCTCCCCTTTAAGGATTGGTTGGGACCACTTTTGGGTTAAAACTTTTCAATATTAAACTGATTTCTGCTTTTTTTCCAAGCTACAATGTTCAGGTGAGCGATGTGGCCCATTGGCCTCTTGTTTTCTGATTGCCAAGGAATTTTGGTATTTGATAATGCCTCCCAATAAAAACCTCTGAGAGGTACCTTGCAAAAATTCTGGAAACAAAAAGAAAAAAATGTCAGAAATGAAAAGAAAAATTGTTGTACATGAAATTAAAAAAAAAATTGTTGGAAATGAAATGCAGTGGAAATTGCTTCCTTCCTTCAGGCCTTGTAAAATGCATTCATTCAGGAAGTTGTTTACTGAATTCAGTTGTTTTTTACCTACAAATTTAAAGTAAATAATTTGATACCTAGCCATATGCTCAAGAAGACTTGTTCATGAATTTTCGGTTATTTACTGTATTAAGCACTTTACTGGAAAGTGGTATTCAACAGAAGCTGAGAAGCCATATGAAAAATTAGTTTTGTAAATTGAACTGAAATCACCACTTCTTTGGCATAGATTCTAGTCTCTGAGGTTATAAATTTACAATAATTAGTATTGGCAAATAAATATAGCTTTTTGTGCTCCATGATTTCTTTAGTTGCTACTGCAATTCAACAAAAATATACTTTATACAGGATTAATTTTATCCCTGTGTAATTTTTGTCCTTTCATACTTGCAAACACTTTTGCCCGGTTTTAAATCCATCAAATTTTATTTAAGAAATGATTGATAATCTGTGTTCTTTGAATTTGCCTCGTTTTAAATTTGCCCACCTATAAGTAGGACAAAAAGGCAATAATATTCCTGTATACAGTATATTGTAGATAACTGATATGCCAAAATACACTTAGTTTATTCTAGTTTTGAATTAATAAAATATCAGATAGCAGTTCTGGGTATTACATATTTATTGTAAAGCATACATGTAAACATCATATAATCCTTTGGGAAAGCCTTTCTGCTTTTCACACTTGAGAGTTCGGAGTCCTGACATGGAAATCACTTTGTCTAACTCAGCGCGTGTTCTTGTGTAACTACTATCCAGCTCATCAAACTCTCGCTCCTGCCCTGATATGTTCTCTTTCAAGATAAAAATACCATTTTCGGCCAGACCTAACTGACATCGTTTAAGAAAGTTGAGCAAGTGTTCATCAGTCAAGTGCCCTAGAACCCACTGAGTCCAGATCACATCATAGGTGCCTGGTTCAGGTGTAAAGTTCTGTAGCCCTGAACAGAAGAGTTTGTCCACACGCGATGATTCTTCTCCAATGAAAGATCGAGCTTCGTCTAAGAATTTCTGATTAAGTTCCACCATGTCTACTGTTTTAAATATAGGTAGCAGTAGTCTTTTGGTTATCCTCCCAATTCCAGCTCCACAGTCTAAAGCTCTTGTCATCTCAGTTTTTCCACCTCCAATCTGTTAAAAGAAGTTCAGTCTATCAAAATAATATCAAGATGTGTTTGTGAAACACTGATGTCCCAGTATGGTAGACCTATATATACTTATCATTCATCATTTATAGAATTACATGAGTAGCGCCTATGGCCAGATGGCAGTTGCGCACTTTGTCAACAACAGATCAATAGTAAACTTACCACAAGGAATTGCCGAAGAAACGCATGAGATCCATTTATGTCTGTGGGAGAAATTTTGGCAAATCCTCCCAACATACCATCAACAGTTGGCGTAATTCCTTCCCAATAGTTTTTAGCATCGCCGTAAAACTTTTCTTCATCATCGAGAGACATTTCTACAATTTTGGGATTACAGATTTTTGATAACTCGTGCAATAATGTATATGTTATATATCATGATACTGTGAATACTAGGCCTATTACTAGCTTTTGCTCTCTAAAATATTATTTTTAAGTTTCCTTTTCATCATCATGATGTTAACTTCATAAAAAAGGAACAATAGATTCCTTTAGAAATTTGACTCCGAAATATTCTATGAAAGAGTTGTCAAACTGTAGAAAAACGAGGAAGTTCGAAAAATCTCTGCACGATGGACATAAGAATAAGTGCCACTGGAATCCAAGATAAGCGAAAAAAGCAAACACAAATCGATGAAATAGATAATCTTGTTTCCCCAGGAGATATCATTACTTCCGACACAGGATTTATGCGGTGTGTTTTCAATGTATTTCGTTCACATACATTCATTGTTTTTTTATTCACTTTTGAAAAAAAGTGTTCATTTCACGTACGCATAATAAGAACAGCAAAAACATTCACTTCTAGCAATGCATTATCTCATATAAGTTTAACGTATTATTTGTATTTTTTGTGGTATTTATTTAACAGAGGACATGGAACTTACAACTCGGAAGACGACAGATTGCTTGCTTCAGTGGCTGGGGTTGTGGAACGTGTCAATAAGTTAATATGTGTAAAACCACTGAAAACAAGGTGAAGATCTACTTAACTGTCAAGAATAGAGGAAAGGAAAAGATTATGTGGATGTACTTTTATTCTGAGTTTTATTTAAGTGCATTCAGAAACAAATTTTCTTTCAGATACAATGGAGAGATAGGGGATATAGTGATAGGGAGAATAATTGAGGTTCAGCAGCGGAGGTGGAAGGTGGAGACCCACTCCAAACTGGACTCCTCCCTACTGTTGTCATCAGTAAATTTACCTGGAGGAGAATTGGTAAGTTTATCACTTGTAAAGAACTGATAAGGCTATTGTCAGTACAGTACAGTTGTTGTCATTACAGAGCTGGTAAAATTGTTGTCAGTACAGAGCTAGTAAGGTAGTTGTCATTACAGATCTGGTAAAGTTGTTGTCATTACAGAACTGATGAAGTTGTTGTCAGTACAGAGCTGGTAAGGTTGTTGTCATTACAGAATTGGTAAAGTTGTTGTCAGTACAGAACTAGTAAGGTTGTTTTCAGTACAGAACTGGTTATGTTATTGTCAGTAAAGAGCTTGTGAAGTTGTTGTCATTACAGAACTGGTAAAGTTGTTGTCAGTACAGAACAGGTAAGGTTGTTATCAGTACAGAGCTTGTAAAATTGTTGTCATTACAGAACTGGTAAAGTTGTTGTCAGTACAATGCTGGTTAGGGTTGTCGCCAGTACAAAAGTGGTTAGGTTGTTGTCACAACAGAACTGATAAGGTTGTAACTAGAGCAGAGCTTCTGGTTATTAATAGAATTACTGCTTCTCAGAGGAGTTGAAATATACTGAACCATTTTTATTTTCACAGAGAAGAAGATCTGAGGAAGATGAAAAAATGATGCGACTATACTTAAAGGAGGGAGATTTGATTAGTGTATCCTTTTAATAGATGGAGATTTATAGAGATAAAATTAAATAAAATTCAGGAAGTAGTGCAGAATGTTCTATTGCTATCTTGCAGATGTACATTTATATTTTTTGAACTAGTTAAATTAAAACTGGTACTTTAACTGAATTGAACTTTAAAAAAACTATATCGATCATTTATTTTGGGGTTTTCAGCTTCTTTAAACTCTACACTAATTTCATAGTTCATAATCTTTAATATTTGGAGGCATTTTTTAAATAAAGTGAGTAGCCACACATTAGATATATCCTTGACCTTACCTACCAGGCAGAGGTTCAATCAGTGTTTGCTGATGGTTCATTATCACTGCACACCAGAAGTCTCAAATACGGAAAGGTAGGGAAATTTGAAATAACCACATACAACTGTTTGATCTCATTGACCCTGTAACAGTATATTAAATCCTTTGGAAACACTGGTAATGTGTTTCTGTTAATACCCACTTTGGTGATTCGAGTCAGATTCCCAGGACTATAAGATGCACATTAATGCTTAAAAAATTGATGGATTAAATGATTGTTAAAATAACATATCAAAAGATGCCGCATTGCATTATAATGTAGAAGATGCTGTATCTATCTGCCTTCTATTTATGTTTCACTTTGTATATTTTAAAAAGTCTTTGAATATTAGATATTGTCAATCATATTTATGTTTTGAATCTGTAGCTAGGACAAGGAACCTTAATTCATGTCTCTCCCTCACTTATAAAAAGAAGGAAAACTCACTTCCACCACCTGCCATGTGGCGCCACCATTATTCTGGGTAACAATGGGTTTGTGTGGATCTGTCCCACGGAGACGGAGGAGATGGACCAAACTGGGGGGTACCAGCTAAGTATGGAGGTAAGCATCATAACGTAGGGTAGTACTGAAGGATAATGGCTTAGAATGGAGGTAAGATTGATAACTTAGTGTAGGACTAAAGGGTAACAACCTGGTATGGAGGTAAGGGTGATAACCTAGTGTAGGACTAAAAAATAACAGCCTAGTATGGAGGTAAGGGTGATAACCTAGTGTAGGACTGAAAGATAACAGCCTGCTATGGAGGTAAGCGTGATAGCGTAGTGTAGGACTGAAGGATGACAGCCTGGTATGGGGGTAAGGGTGATAACCTAGTGTAGGCCTGAAGGATAACAGCCTAGTATGGAGGTAAGAGTGATAACCTAGTGTAGGACTGAAGGATAACAGCCTAGTATGGAGGTAAGGGTGATAACCTAGTGTAGGACTGAAGGATAACAGCCTGGTATGGAGGTAAGGGTGATAACCTAGTGTAGGACTGAAGGATAACAGCCTGCTATGGAGGTAAGCGTGATAGCGTAGTGTAGGACTGAAGGATGACAGCCTGGTATGGGGGTAAGGGTGATAACCTAGTGTAGGCCTGAAGGATAACAGCCTGGTATGGAGGTAAGAGTGATAACCTAGTGTAGGACTGAAGGATAACAGCCTGGTATGGAGGTAAGGATGATACCCTAGTGTAGGACTGAAGGATAACAGCCTGGTATGGAGGTAAGAGTGATAACCTAGTGTAGGACTGAAAGATAACAGCCTGCTATGGAGGTAAGCGTGATAGCGTAGTGTAGGACTGAAGGATAACAGCCTAGTATGGAGGTAAGGGTGATAACCTAGTGTAGGAACAAAGGATAACAGCCTGCTATGGAGGTAAGGGTGATAGCTTATTGTAGGACTGAAGGATAACAGCCTTGTATGGAGGTAAGGGTGATAACCTAGTGTAGGACTGAAGGATAACAGCCTGGTATGGTGGTAAGGGTGATAACCAGTGTAGGAACAAAGGATAACAGCCTAGTATGGAGGTAAGGGTGATAACCTAGTGTAGGACTGAAGGATAACAGCCTAGTATGGAGGTAAGGGTGATAACCTAGTGTAGGAACAAAGGATAACAGCCTGCTATGGAGGTAAGGGTGATAGCGTAGTGTAGCACTGAAGGATGACAGCCTGGTATGGGGGTAAGGGTGATAGCCTAGAGTCAACTAAAGGATAACAGCCTAATATGGGGGTAAGGATGATAGCCTAGTGTAGGACTGAAGGATAACAGCCTAGTATGGAGGTTAGGGTGATAACCAAGTAATTGAATGAAGGATAAAAGCCTAGTATGGAGGAAAGAGTGATAACTTGGTGTAGGACTGAAATGAAGGCTAACCAGTTTTATGGCAGTTCAGAATATTTTCTTAGACTTTATTTCAGATTCCCTGTAGTCTAAAGTTTACTGGGAAAAACTGAAGTAGTATTTTTCTATAAATTATAAAAAAAAATTAAGGTTTAATTGATTTAAACTTCATTGTGCAGGAATTGCTTGAAATGAATAGTCATTCAAAGAACATCTCTTTATAGTAATTTCTAAAAGTACTAGTATTGGTGAGGTTTTAGAATAAAAAATTGTGTCTTTTTAAAAAATATTTAAACACAAATAGCATTATTGTGATAACCTTTGGTTATTAGCACTTGTTGACCCCTATATTTCAGCCTGTACAGCGATCTGACAGAGAAGCAGTATCTAGGTTACGGAACTGTATACAACTTCTTGCCACCCACAAAATGCAATTATACGACACCAGCGTACTGTATACTTATGAAGCATCACTCAACTTTCAGGTAAATACATGTTCAGTTTAAGGAATTCAATAGTGAGAACTAGTTAAGTGATACCTGAAAAATAAAATGTTAGTCGAAGACTTAGAAATTTTACATACCCATCGAGGGGCAATTTCTGAAACTTACAAAAACTGAAAATGGTATCAGAAATCATCAGAAATCAAAATATAGGTACAAAAGAATTCATGTATTTTGAAAGAATAATTATAGTATTATTTTGAGATCAAACTAGTAGATTAATACCAGTAGATCATAGTTGTCTGGGTTTTGTTACAGATAAAGGACATATTAAAGCCAGAGATTGGACTGGAGATCCTTGATCACACTCGACAGAGACTAGAACTGGAGGGCACCTGATGATTTGTGTATTCTTATGACAGCTATTTGTGTTGGTAGTGGACCAGAGATGATGTCCGTTTACAAACAAGACTGTGTTTCAGCAAGCTGTGATCCAAGAAACTTAAAGAAAATTACATATAATGTAACTGTTTATGAAAAGATCATGAGACATTTGTCACATGATTCAAATTCTTATCAGCAGCATATGTATTGTACACACAGATTTTTTTTTCACATTAGGAGTGAAAAAAATTGTAATTAATTCCTTAAAAGCAGTTTTGTTAATAAAATACCTGAATTTTATTTCTTTTTTAGTTTTCAGCATAGTGATACAAGGTTTATAGGCATCGTCTATGTCCAGTTTTGAACCCCTCACCCCTACCTCAGTTTTATCCATTGCTTCTCATACTTGAACATACATGTATGAAGTCCTTGATAGCATTCTCTATCAAAAATGAAAATCTTGACTTGGTTAATGTGTTCATGTACTAAAATCTATCTGTGATTACACATTAATTCATCACAGCAAATTTACCACGGTACGTAGATGGATGCTCATCTTTGCTAGCCAAGGGTTTCTGATCTGCTTCTCCTTACACACACTTGACCTGAGGTGCTATCAAAATTCTTGATAAGATCTTGAATTTTACCACATATGCACAGCTTGTGTCATCAACAGAAATCAGGATCCTTTAAGAGAGTACTTGTATAAGGCATACCAGATAATTTTTTTGGAGCAAGTTCATCCCCAAGTAACTATTAGCCCTACCTTGACCAAACTTGCATGGATGATGCATCTAGGGATGCACTCCACCAGAATGCATTTTCTGGAGAAGGAAAAGGGTTACAGTTTTTTGATATAGGTCCATTCCCAAGTTACTCTAACCCAGCCTAGGAATGTACACAAGACTTGCTTCAGATGTTAGATCTGCATTAAAATTATTTACACCCACTTAAAGGTCTTGTCACAATGAATACACATGAAAAGTATGAAAGCCCCAGCACCAACTGTTCAAAAGTTATGACCAAGGTTAAAGTGTGATAATTTTTTGTAAAAGTGGGTCAAACTGCAAGGTCAAGAGCTCAAAATTTGGTGATACTCAAAGAAAAGTCTTGTCACAAGGAAAACACCTGTGAAATATGAAAGCCTTAGCCCCATCCACTCAAAAGTTATGAGCAAGGTTGAAGTTTTCGTGGAAAAATAGACTGTGCAAAAACTATGTACCCCCGAATCTTCACTTTCGACAACATAACAGCAAAAGGCCCTGCCTGGACCAACATGCACACATGATGCATTATGGTATGCACACTACAAGCCTTGCTTTAGATGCTATACCTGACCTATGTTTATTGCAACAGGTTCAAGCAACTCTAGATCTTACATTTCATGGAGTGAGCTTTCTATGTATACTAAGCTACAATGTTTGTTCCTTTTGGGAATTGAACAGGTAAAATATTTAGAGCTAATCCATTCTCAAATGCTATAAGCCCCAATGTCACTGAACTTGAATATGCATGCCACTAGGGATGCATATAACCAGATATGCATCATTGTTAGCCAAGGGTTTTGTGTCCATTTTATTTCCACATACCTGGTTAATGGAAATAGAAGGGACATAGAACCAATAGCTTGTAATGTCAAGATATCTTTTGAAGCTGGATCTGACATACGTTTTCTTGGATTTTGGAGCATGTTAATTTTTCTAATATTTACAAATCCAACTTGAAAAAATTACGCGGACTTGTTGCACAGAAGAAATATTTGACGACATAATCGGGCAAAATTTCACAAATAATATAAAAGAATCTTTACTTAAATGGTCTTCAAATTTTCATATCAAAATGTTGTACATTGGTATTAATTTTGAGTGATTTTTCAGGACATACCATTTAGTTACGGCGCAGCAAAATCTTCGACGTCACAAGCATTATAAAAAATATGTGATTGCGCTTTTATTTTCTCAACATTTTCCCTTGAGTACCTGTATAGTTTGAGTTACCTTATCTACTCAACATCAAAACACCATTTCTTGTCAAGCTTAAAATCTATTAAACAAGTAAAAAAATATTTTTTTTTGTTTTTAAACCAAAAACTACTTATGAGATATAGTGTGTTATTGGTGACTCTCAATCACGTTCTTTACAGTCCGGTTAAAGTTAACTTTTCGTCTATAGCATAATCTTCTTCCCGTCCTCCCTTATAGCCTTTTTAAAGAGGTGTTACTGTCTAAAATTTCAATTTGCTATTTGTGGGCGAATGTCACGAGAAGCCTAATTTACTACATGTTTTATTATGCATATTTTGGATCTATGTTACCGATATCTCGAGCATTACACAAATTTTAACGAAAGTGTGGTGCGCCGTCAATTCAGGAGATGTCATTTTCACAGTCGTTTTCACGGGAATCGCATCAGAGAAAAATCACTTTATTTCTGTTCGTACTTCAAATATTACGTCCGAAATCTAAATACACAATGAAAGAACAATTTAAAGGTAAATTTGAGAAAATTGTTGAAAAATATCGCGAATTTTAGAAAATCAATGAGTTAAATTTTTGAATCCGCATGCTTTTGCTTCAATTTTTTTGTCGTGCGCCGTACCTCTCCATCAACGATATCAACATACCGATAATTTTAGTAGATTTTTTTTAAAATACAGAAATTTTGCCAAAAATTTATTGGAATCTTTAAGATACATATATCTGTGAAATTTTATAACTATATGATGTCTGTAAGAGTAAATAATAGCACAGTCCGCGTAATTTTTGAACGGCCCTCGTAGTTGTATCTAGGGCATCGTCCCAAGCCACAGTCCCAAGTCCCCATAGAGCATAGAGAATCGTACATTCTGGCCACTGTTTGCGACAATGTATCTAGGGATGCACCAGAAGTATACTACATATAGACAGTGAGCTTTCTAATCTTTGAATACATGATTATGTTTTAACTTTTAAGTCACTGAGGCTTTTGACCTTTAGTCTGCTCATGGGTTACCAAATGTGGAACTAGTAACTATGCCCTCAGATATACCTAGGGATGTCAGTATGACCTAAATCACTGTCCTTTGTTAACATTACAAATTAAAAAAAACACACCAAGTGATCACTTATAAAAATGTATTTTCATTGAAAAGTTTCATTTACAATTACAGTAACCTTGAGTATTTAAAGAAATTTAAATAAAGCTTGCTTCCTGGACCTGATGAAAAACAAAAAAGTCCACAATCATTCACAGAATTACAACAGATTGTTCTCAATAACTTAATACTTCCCGCATTCTCTCTTTGTTCTAAAAGATTCACTCCTAATATAGAGCTTATCCTCACCAACAATAGTAGTTATCTTACACTGGTCCAGTATTGATTTTTTTCCTACACATTCTTAAAGGAATCTTGCTTTAAAAAAACAGATCTAGAAATGTGGAATTCACCTTAGTAAGTACTCAAAACTGCAGTTCAGAGTCCAGATTTGAACAGACTTTGTAAATTACATGTCTTGATAGAACAGAACAAAAATTTCTTAAAATATGCAGTCCATTTGTAAAATGCAAAAACTTGCTATAATATATATAGACAAACATTTTAATGCCTTTCAATAAACTTCAATTAATCTTTCTTAAGAGGTATAGTTAATTACTTAGCATGCTTCTACCCCCAAAGATATTACCAGTAACATACTAAGTGAATATAAATAAGGGATTTCTGTTTGAAAGAGGTACTCATGTGATTTAATACCAGTATAACTTTGAAAATGTGCAAATCAATTTTTGTGCAGTCCTGTATACAGTAAGATGAAATGACTGATAATATTGCATTAAAGAGGATGTCTTGTTTTCGCAACAGAAGAATTTCATGGACCCTCAAGGTAGCATGAATCTGTAGTTTACAACTGTATACACTAGTAACCTATCTACAGAATGGAAACAAAAACTGACTGATGAAAACTCTATACAGATGACAATAAATGAAATTCACACAAAATATATGACACCTTGGTTATATACGGAAGATTCTGAAGATCAGTCAGTCAGGAACAATTTTTTATATTTTCTGAGAAGGGGCATAACTCTTACAACAACCACAAGGGGTCACTGAAAGCGGCTAACAACCATCATGTGTAAAAATCTATTGGCAATGCTGTGAAAAATAATGCCATTTGAAATAAAAATAATTAAAACAGCTTGTAATATTTGTACAGAATAGCAATACCAGCACTTTAGAAATTGATAAGCTTTTTTTCACGTAAAAATACCTATAATACATATAAAAAGAAATACATATGCCCCAAAGATACAACCTCGCGAATTTCAATATGCAAGCACAATGCATCACTTTCGTATCAGATCCACAATTTCCTTGATAGCAACATGTACATCATTAATGATTTTCATTCCGAATGCTGGATTGGAACTACAGATTGTTTTGACGTTTTCACTTTGAGATAGAAGGCGCGATAATAACTCCTTGGCATGGAACTTTGCATGTGGTGGCATGGAATCAAAGAATTGAGAACAGAGGTCATGAAACTGTAGGACTTTTTCATACAGAATCATAAAATTTGCGCTGTTTTTATTTCCCGTACTTGTTAAATTCTGAAGAGAAGTTAACACATCATCAGACATGTTTAAAATACTGTCACGAGAAACACAAGGACTATCGGAATCCGAATTTCCTCCGGTGTGATGGTAGGTCTCTTGCACAGGCTCTAAGGAATCAAACACAGATTTTGACATAAATGACTGCTGCATGCCAATGCTATGTGGAAGTGGTTTTGGTAATACAGGTTTATTTGAAATAATGTCTTCAATGTTGCTTGCTTTTCCCTCCCTCATTGAATTCCTATCCTGCTCTCCTCTGGAGAATGGCTTTATCTGTCCAAAGTCTGGGCCAGCAGACTGAAACATTGCTACTTTTGATAAAACCGACGCGCTCTGCTTGTCGTCCTTCTCCGTGCTCTCCTCTGTGTAGGGATACTCACCAATAGAAGATGACCTCATTTTTTGAGCGAGATGTGGTCTCATGACTGGGGAAATAAAGTCAGACTGTTTTTTAACTTCTGAAGGAAGTTTCGGGGAGAACGAATTTTCTGCCCCTTTATCTACAGAGTAACTAGGAAGAGATTTATACAAACTCTGGGACATAGAGGAAGGGGGGATTTGGTCCACACTCTTATCATGGAGACTGTCTTGATCTGCCGGCTCAGTGAACATTCGGGATAATCGAGGACTAGGTTTTGGTTTTTGAGCCAGATCGGGATATTGCCGAGAAAAAGAGTCTAAAGCACCACCAGTGTGAGTCAAGTCCGATTTCTGTCTCTGAAGTAAGGAATTAAAATGAGAATTTTGATTCTCAGCTATCACATTGTGAGACTGTGACTTGACAACGGCGGATGGTTTTACGTTGGGTTCCGGTTTTATTCCCTCAATAGAATCGGGAGGAGCCACATTCTGGTTTTGTCTCCACTGATCCCCTAGTCCGTTCTCGTTCTCCGGTAACAACACAGGACAGGAAGCGATGCTTGCCGTGTCCGTGCCAGAATCATGATCTTCCACCGTAGGAAGGTTATCCACGCGTTGCTGATCTACACCACTCTCCATGGAGGCTAGATATGCCTCAATCCTGCGACCTTTGGGAATGGTGCCATAACGACTAATAGCTTTAGTAACATTATTCACATCTAAACGTCCAATGGTGACCTGGTCCGACTCAGCATCGAGACTCCTGGCCACCATTGTATTGCTCTTCCCAGCCTCTCCCCTTCTGAATGGCTCACCCACAGACTTTTTCCTGAGAGCATGAGAAGGTAGAGGGAGTGCTTTCTTGGGATAAGACCTTCCTTTCACTTGAACATGTCCAAAATCTTTGTTTTCCTCCATAAAGTTAGTGTTTGTCTCCTTGTCAGATTTTTGTCTGTTTTCAACATCTGATGCTAGTCTTAGTTCTCTGTGATACGGTATAGAGAATTTCCGTGTGGTGTTTTTATCCCCCTGTTCAAAGGAAGGGGATTTTGTGGCACTGTCAACATTAATCATGTATTTTGATTTATCAATAGGAGCTCTTTTAACACTGTCTGAGCTATTTTGGCCTATGCTTCCATCCTCTGAAGTTCTCACTCCTTCTTTAGAATCCATTCTTTGAAACGTTTTTGGTGATCCTAGCTCCAATCGTTTTGAAGGTTGTAAAGATATTGTTGGTCCAAAATCACTAGCTACTGATTGGTCCACGTCATTATCTCCATAGAACTCCACTTTACTAGAACTCTCTATCTTGGCTTTTTGAAGCTTCATCTTGGCTTTTAACTCACTCTCCATGTTAGGATTTTCCTGTTCTTTACATGAGGTGGTTCTCCGTGGAGGTGGTGGTGCTGCCCCACCTTTCTTCTTGGCCTTGTTGGACAAGACAGCAGATACTTGTCTCAAAGACTCGTCAGAATTCCTGGAGGGCAAGACTTTCCTCCCTGTAAGGGGTGTGGAACCTACAGAAAGACAAGAATGAGAGGGTATTACATCTCATGTCAAGCTGTACTCTAGGAAAACAAAGACCTATCACATGCATCTGTATATGTCATATATCAAATAGTTCAATAGACAGAAAATGTATTTCAATTTTAAACATCTAAGACACATTAATTTAGTAAAAAAAAATGTTTAGCTTAAGAATAAAACACGTACTTGCACTCATTTGACCTCCTTCTGCCATGTGATCAGCCTCTGACATATTTCTTTTCTTGGACGACTGAAGGATTGGAATCTTTTTTGTGTCTGTTTTCTCCAACTCTTTCTCAATTTCTACAAAACAGGTTGACAGAAAAACTAGAGTAATCATAACAAATACATATAAAACTGGATGAGTGTCTGTAGAGTGATTGTTTATTACATGTAAAGGAGTATACATGTATACTATCATAGCTGAAAAATCATATATGAACCTGAACACTAAATAATTAAAAAAAACTTATGGATGAAATTAGGAATTACCACTGCTGTTTATCAACTGAAAAACATAGGGACAAAAATAAATTATTTCAATCTGATATTATTCAGTAGCTTTACCTTCATTTAAACTTGATTTATCAAACATGTGTTCAAGTGAATTGTGGATCTCTAGAAAAGTTGGTCGATCTTTTGGGTCCCATTGCCAGCCTGCCAAATCAACGAAAGTCACTTTGGAATTAGTACCACAGAGACACTCATAAATTTTTATTTAGAATAACTGCATAATAGGATAATTCTATAAACTTCACTCCTCTATAAAATCTCTTTCATATCATATTCTCTATCACAGCAAATTGTACACTTAAACAATGAATTCTTTAAGATATTAATGCACATTAACTATTACTGTAAACATATTACATTTAGTGGTGTATTCTATTTAGCGATTTTGGCGGAGAGCGGAGTCCACTAATTCAAGTACATCGCTAAATGTCTTGTATATTAACTTTTCTAACTAGCAACTTCAGACAGCACTAAATCAAATATACGCTAACTTGTTGAAAATTGAATTTCCGTCAAATATCGTACATGCCAAATGTAATACATTTACAGTATTCTTTTTTGTAAACCATGTTTTTTAATCATTAATAGAAGGATTCTCTCGTCTAATACATACACTTCATCATGAGTTCGTACACGTTGGCAGGACACCCCGCGGGTCGGTCCATTCTGTACTGTCTCTCCAGGAGATGATACACCTCCGTCAGCTCTACCCCGGGGTACGGGGACATCCCATAGGTAGCCAGCTCCCACAGCAGCACCCCAAAGGCTGAAAATGTAAAAGTATTGTATGAATAATTATAATTATATTTATATATATTATGAATATTATAATTTTGAAAATAAACTTGGTTAGTATTAAGTGAACAGATTTATTTTAATGTACATGTCCAGTCAAAATTCTAAAGTTACGTTACAATTAACAATAACATTCTACCCTTTCATCTTTCATGTATAGAATTGAGAAAGCACACATTACTTTTTCCCATAAATCTTTATCAATTTATCAAACTCTATCAGTACTGTTATATTTACATATACAAATGAAATTCTATAGCTCCAATAAAAAGAAAATATACCCCAAACATCCGACTTGGTAGAGAATCTGTTGAAGGCTAGGCCCTCTGGGGCAGTCCATTTGATGGGAAACTTTGCCCCTGCATGAGCAGTGTAGGTATCGTCCTTCATGAGTCGAGCCAAACCAAAGTCAGCCACCTTAACCAGGTGATCAGGACCCACCAGACAATTCCTGGCAGCCAAATCCCTACAACATCAGAAGGCTTACATAAACAAAGTCAACCTTTCCAAGCTACCAACCATCCAGATCTTTAAAGCTTACATAACTCATTATTGTTAACATGGAAATTTTCACCTCCATTTTATTTCTGCCCATTCTGCCTTACAAAAGTGTTTAAATTTAGGAAGAGTAAGCATAAAGACATAAATTTTTATAACAAAACTGTGAATGGGCAATTTTGTAATGGGAAAAATTGATTACAAGTGTGAAAGGGCCAAAAGAACCTGGAACAAAAATAATCCTCTATATAGTTGTTCTTTTTAGATCTATACCTGTGGATAAAGTTTCTGGCCTCGAGATATGCCATTGCTGAGGCTATCTGTGTAGCCATGTACATCAACACTGTGGGGCCTATGTCATCCTTTGTGGTGCTCCGCAGGTAATCTAAAAGATTTCCCTGGGCCATGAATTCTGTCACAATGTAGAAAGGGGGTTCCCGTGTACAGACACCTAAAAAAAATTTCCTGATCATTATCTCTGATAAAACCATCATACAAACAAAAAGTTTCAATGCTGTTCTGATAATTTAATTGAAGAAATCTTTTAGATTTACTTTCTTTTTTCAACCCATGGTTTTTTAGCATGCAACATCCTACCAATATCCAAATAAGATAACACAAAGTTGACATAAGACCCAGTTTACCGAGTAATTGCACTAGATTGGGGTGCTTCATCTCTTTCATTATACATGCTTCCTCCAGGAAATCTTTCAGAGCCATCGTATCTTCCTTCAGAGTTTTGACAGCCACCGTTTTGTTGTATCGCTTCCAAATCGCCTCATACACATCTCCATACTGGCCCCCACCTGTTAACAAAAACACAACTAGTTGTCTCCTATTCTACTTTTAATTTTGTTTACATTGAGATGATTTCATATAAAATACATATACAAAGGGCCCCAATTCTGACCTAGCCTGTGTTTCATGGCTATCTCTGTCCTCTCGATCTCCCACCTATCTGGCTCCGGACTGAGACCAAACACTGTGGGCTTCTGTCGCTTTGGTGCAGGGTACAGCAGAGTGGTGACTAAACCATCGGAGTGGATCGAATGGTGGTGTACTAGCTCTGCTAATGTATTAAATCTGTGTTCTGCTGTAACATACACCTGAAACAAAATAAAAGATAATGTTTATTCTCATCCTTTGATTCAGTTTTAACAATTAAACACAGCAGATTTGAAAATAAAATAGAACGAACAAAATCTTTACCCGTACTTCAAAACTGAAACATTATTTTTTTTTAAATGGCTGATTCAGTACTTTTATTTTTGATTTACAATTACCTTTCCATCTGAATCATCACTAATTCTGTAATGGTATACACGTCCCTCAAATCGTACAGAAATTGACCTTTGACCTGGACTACTTTCACTTTCTCTGACAAGGAAACTGCCATTTATTCCACTACTGAGGAGATATTCCGATGCGTTTCTGGAGATTTGTCCGTGGTACCAGGAGAATTTGTCCAGGCTGTTGACGGGGGCGATGTAGTTGCTAGGCACCCAGCCTATCTCCCCGGCTTTGTTCTTGACCTCGCACCATTCTCCGCCCTTGTTATAGCCCAGGATTGTGATTTGTTCCCCTTCAACAAAGTGCAAGGTGATAGAAAGATGTAGCAGAGGGTAGCATGCTTACACATAACAACATCAACACAGGCAAAACTAAAGAAATCATTTACCAAAATAAAATACTACACACATACAAAACAAATCTTCTACATAAAATGAAACCAAAAGACACAACAATCAACTACAACTCAACTAAACCATTTTTTTTACCCTTAGTAGATAAATCTAAACAAGATAGCTTTTCCTTTCTCTAGTAATTTCTACATGTCTTGGTCTATTAATGTTAGAAATAAGAAATGCTTTTCTCCCATATCTTCAAGTGATAGGTATTTTGAATTAAAAGGATCAATTTTCTTTTGAATGTGGAGATACCAATAACCATATCAAATTTCACCTCAACCTAGATTAACATGGAAATCATTTAACAGTTAAATACTCAATAATTATGCATAATCTTACACTCTGTATGTTTACCCTTCATAAATACATGACTGTCAAAAAATCAAGATTTAAAGAACAGTCTAGTAACAGAGATATGCAGTAGTTCTTATCAATATTGTGGCTGTATTGTGTGACAGTGAAGATGATTGGGGGCTGTCTGACGATAGGATGACTTCAGTGTAAGATGGCTATATAGAAATCACCTATACCAAGTGTGAAGAATAAATCAATATCTCCCCTGCACGGAGCCGTGCATTCTTCAGATTGATATGGCAGAGCTGGTGTTATTGAACATGCTTGACTACAGAGGAAAGGCTCCTACACACAGCCAGGTAAAAGATTAACAATTCATGAATGAAGTCTCTATGAACAAGAGTCTACGACATCTAAACAGAAAATAATTACGAAAAACAACAAAATAGAAATCACATGAAATATATAGATATGTCTAACCTATGACATTCCTATAATTCAAAGAAAGCTAGTCTACACAAAACATTTATTAATTCCTTCATGCAAATATGACCTAATGACACATTAGCATTTCCTGTGAAATACAATGGCAGATCCTAAGGGTGGGTGTGGGTGTTTTACATCACATGATCCCCAATCATTCCCTTATAATGAATAGCATTAATGTCTAAATTTGAAGTGACCATTTGTAAGTGATAAGCTTAACTTCAGCACTGTATAGTCAATGAACTCATAATTTGTAAGAACATTGGTACAGGCACTTGTGTACTGGTATTAATTTGGCACATGTACATTTTTTGGTGCAATTTTAAGATTTTAATGTATTCTGGACAATCCTAACATTTTAAATTTGACATTGATAGATGATCTCAAAGATGTCAAATTCACTCATTTGTCCGCATCCTGAGTTTTTGACAGAAGAGCTGTGACTAGTACCTTTGATAATACTGAGCTGGTTATCTCCCCCTGATTGGAAGTCGTACAGCGCCACAAATAAATTCGGATCATCTTCGTTCTGGGCTAGTAGATTCTCCTTTGACATCCATTTTGTATTCAGGAAGTCACCGAGCGGGGACGGAGGTAGAGGGCGGGTTGTCAAGGTCGGTGTATCTGAAGGTCACAAATAAAAACATTTTAAATACAGCAAAAAAAGAAACATCAGATACTTTAAATCTCTTTTTTTTTCAAATGTATGCAGGTATTTAATAATTAAAATAAAATGATATTCTCTTTCAGAATTTGATGACTTTATAAGCACACAGAAGACAATGAAATAAAGGTACTTTTTCTAGAAGCAAAATGATTAAAAATTAAACTTTCAGATTTTTAAAAATTGTCTAAATTTTTTAATGCATCAACTGTCTTTGACTCATGCATCAGAGTCTAAATGATTCATTTGTATGTATTATGTTATTTCCGTACTGTTGTGTGGAGATAAGTGTAGATTTATGCTGCTTCATTATTTTCTGAATACTTGATTGTGATAAAAAGTTACCAGTATGCCAAGATAATCTGCCTGACCCAGTCAGCAGTTTATAGAGGTCTGGGTCTTAATTTCTGAATACAAAGTTATCTGTTAGTTGACTCCAATTATCTGCATTAATAAATTCTCATTATTCAATCCCCATCTGTTGAGTAACCCTACATAAGTCTGAATAATCAGACACAAGGGCAAATCTGGATATACATAAAACTTGTTAAGAAAAAAACTCTACAACACAAGAAAACACTTGGTATTGTACCTCAACTGATACAGAACATGTACACTAAGCTGCCAGAGAAAACTTTTCACATGCTAGACAGGAGAAATCAGTTGCTTTCAGTTATCAAAATGATCTGAAGCAAGCTTGTTTTATTTGTAGCAATCTGTCTGTGGGTATGGCAGACAGCTTCTCCTGACACAAACCTACGCTGGTCAACGACCCCCTCATATCTTTCTTACTACGCTTATCACGAACTTTCTTTTTTTTTTTTGCAAAATGTGCATTCTCTTCAAATGTGAAAAAACAACTTGAAATGGTATATGTTCATTTTTTTTTTTTTTGCTGCAAGCCATGGGGAGAGAGAGATCAAAATAAATTCAGAACAAAGTACGGGGAAAAAAAATCAAAGAGTTTAACACCAGAATCAATTCTATCAATGTGCCTCATGCATCGTGCAGTTTTACAAAGAAAAATCAATATTTTACCGCTGGTCTCTCATTCCACACATAATTAATACATCTTTTTCTTTAGATTTAAAGATGATTGATGAATTACAGGAGGAAACATTATCCAACAGAATCTGATTAATGCACATCTACATTATTGTTACAAAAACTACAAATCTGACATTAAAAAAATTCAAAATTTGTCCATCTAAACAATAAATCACTGAAGCATTTAAAATATTTTCATTATATGTTAAATCTGTTATTTGTTCAGCATGTGCCCTGTTTTAGCCACACAAACCACATCGGACCGAGTGATTTCTGCAGCTCTCTCTCTGGCAGACTGGCACAGCTCTAGGACATGCCTCAATGACTTGTGATTCTCTTTATCTGTTATTTCTGAATAATGACCAGACTACCACTACTCACTAATGGTCCACACCATCCCTGTCCATCAAGTCATGGTCAAACTGTGTCATGTGACAATATAGACATGTAAATTCATCGGCTGTTATAAACCCATTTATAAATACTTCTCTAATACAAAGAGACATAACAGTTTATAAAGCAATAACAAAGACATTTCTTCTATAAATCAACTTTTCATGTAAATACAGAGATTTTATCAGTGGGTGTGTATCAAATGTCATTTACAGCTTTTGAAAAGAGGTTAATTTTGTGAATCGTGAAGATTAAATGTCGGTGGTCGCAGCCTAAGACCGTGCCCTTCAGATATGTGTATTTACTGCGGTATACAGGTGTGTGTAAATTGTACCTGAGAACAGGTGAAATGTACATCATGAGCTGACCAACATGCTGATGATGTGCCAAGTACATGCAGCCCCTGTAATCTCTCGCTCTCTTTCTCCAACTGAACTTAATATTTTTTATTGTTAAACAATTCTTCAACATCTCCTCAGCAGTTAGACTCCTGCTGTGTCCCAATCAGACTTGTTTTCTCTCTGTGGTACAGCTGGGGAGATACCAGAGATATTCCCCAGTTTATGGCTCCTCCAAATCTCAAATTAATATATCAGAGCTCAAACCATGTGCAATATACGCAAGAAATGTTTAAATGCAGCTAATTTGCAGACAGTGAAAATTTCCTTTGAGATGAACTGGGTCACAAGATTCCATAAGTTGCCCTTTAAACAAGTGATTGTTAAGACTATGTAAATACCTTCCAATAATTCTCTGTTTATCCACATCTACATGTATTACCTGTACATATACTGTGTATATTAAAGATCCTGTCGCCTGCGAACACCTACAAGTTACATTGAACACACCTATGTGTTATTTATAACATTGTCCTATCACAGTTTCTGCATGAAATTTTGCACTCCTTGGTTTATGAAGCCTGTACCTTTGTTTTAAGAGACAATTTTCTGGCTGAGTCTACTTGTTGACCTGTTCTATTATACTTCTCATTCAGAAATGATGTTATCAACACATGACAGTCACCAGGTGCAAAACTATCCCCATCCAAGGAATAAATCACCACATTTTGATTTAAATGACTGAATTAAGAAGGAAGGCTAAAACACAAGTTATTAATTACCTCTCAAAGTTTATACAAAGTGCAATACAACCAAAGAATTACTTGATTATTGTTATAAACATTCACAAACTACAACCATAACTACTAACACATTCTAGATGTTACAAAATACAGTCCTCTCACTCCAGTTATTCTGCAGAAACTGCCTTCTATTCGCCTTCTCTAGGATATTTTTATACCTATTTTCATATATTTATTGTTTACAATAATTATATAATTAAATTTTGTAAAGTATACCCCACCATTTAATTGAATAAAAGAAACTTGACTGGGTTGGCCTATAGTAGTGGTAGTTCAGGGGAAAATGAAGTTGAGCAACAATGAACAATATCGATTAGAAAAGCTCACTTGAGCCTTCTGTTCAGGTAAGCTAATAATATATTGTACCCAGAAGTACAGCTCTTTTTATAAAAGATATGAAACAGACATTAGAGAAGAGGCAACAAATGTGACACACCAGACCGGGATTCAGACCTGTAGTGTACCTCTGAATTACCAGTCTGGTGCTCTACCGACTAAGCTATCTGGCCAATGGCCATCAAACCAGTCTGACCATCACACATATACTGGGTATAAAGTTGAACCTTGTTAATTTGAATGCTTTGCTTCTGAGAAAATTGTCCCAAATTAATTAACTTCTAGATTTATGAGTTCACTGAAACCTAGCAAAGTAACATATATGATTCATTGGAAATTGGAACGTGTAATTTCTGTTCCCCACAACTTTTGTCCTAAAAGTAAAGCATGCAGAATATTGGTGTCAGGACTTAACTTTGACTTGACTACATGTTTATCATTGAAATATTACATAATAAAATCTTAAAATTAACTCCATGTAGGATGTAAACTGTGACTGGGTGTATCAGATATGGTACAGGCAAGATTTACTCAATTGTTATGAGGTTTTGTGGTTTTCAAGCACTTATACAACAATGTCAATATCCTAAACAATTAGTAAATTAAAAACACACTTTAGTCCAGCCTCTCATAAATGAACTTCGTCAGCATCACCTGGTATAAAACAGTCCACATAAACAATACAACCATGTCCCTTGTCATGAAATATACATCCTTGTACTTTTCCACAATTGTGTTCTACAAAACATGTGGCAGTAAATATTGAGCAATTCTAACATGCTGAACTTTGGTAAAATGTGGAACTGAAACTGAAAGCAAACATTATTTTACACGAGTGAATAGGTACACTCAAGATTCCTGTTCTGCACATGGCTCAGTGGTATAATTGAAAAATAGAAAACTCCATGGTTGAAATTCTTAGCTGCCAAAATTATTTAACTGGTACATATTTTCTCCCAAAAGATTATAGTAGCATTAATATGCTTAATTAACCAACATAAACTAAAATCAAAAGACTACTCTTGCATGGGTCATTAAGACAAAAATTTTGCCTTCTCTTATATATACCCATAACATGTGATTGTTCTCACATAATGTCTTGACTAATACTGAGTACAGCCTATACGCATACTTTCTGATATGGTGCATTAACACAAAAGATAGATAACACTTGTGTCAAACTCTCTGAACACTGGAGTCAATAGTTGATTCATTAACTTTCTTTTCAACTTAAACGGTCAGCTGGACAGATGACAGAAATTTTCCCCTTTGTAAATATAATTATACTGTATTTCTTGTGTAAACAAAAATTACTTGCTACAAATAGAAGACTTCCCCATGAAATCTGATCAACAATATATAATACAAGCTCTTAATTTCATGTTTAACAAATGTAAGAGAGCTAGGATTGTCTCTTACCTATCCTCACTAATGCTGCTTGTTAGAAATGCAGTTTTTATGTATTGATAACTATACTGATAAAATATTTAGGAAGTAAAATAAATTTCATGCTATAAAAAGAATACTACCATATATTTCGACAATGTCTGGCCGAAAAGAAAATCTGGACTCCTGCTGACTGATCAAAAAAAAAAAAAAAAAAAAAAATCCTATAAACTCAGCATCCTTATTCACCCATGAAGTGTATATGAATGTACAAAATATGTTCTCACAATAACCAAACAGAAGTTCACAAATAGAAGAGAAACTCATCTTGCTTTAATGTAAATTGCAGATAGATAGTGATTAAACACTCATTGTTAAAAAGTTGAACTTTTTTAAACTTGGCAAAATGTAAATGCAACTAAGTAATGATTTCATGTGACATCAAAGGCTGCATGGAGTCTTGTACAGTTTGACTGAAGAACCAGATCTTAGTTTACAGTTTAAGTAACAATTACATCATTGTGCTCACTTAACGGTTGCTCCATCAAAATATTAGTTCAAAGAAATACATCTTAAAGTTTGTGGTGAACATTGTATACACTGTGTCTTTAATCTCTTGTTCATGCATGTAATGGGAGAGAAGACATATGCAATAGAATAGTCCAGGATTTGAACCATGGCCCCCTGAATCTCCAATCAGGTGCTCTACTAACTGAGCACAATTTACAGAACATTTCTTATTTACTGTTGACGTCAATTTTTGATTTAAATTGCAATGGAAACAATTATTTTCATTGGCTTAACATGAAGTCACAGCATAGAGGCGTCCTTACTTAAGATTACAATATTTTATGTGATCAAACAGCTAGGGTAGGAAAGAGGTATATGTACACCTTTGACCGTGGCTTGAGACAATGATTTTCAAGCAGGCCTAATCGAGAGATGTACATCATGAATGTGATATATAATAAATTTGGCTTGATCAAGAATGGGCATCATGCATGTGATATTATTAATCGGTTACTGTGTGTGACCAAACTCCCATGCCCATTATCAAAATTTTAAAGTGTGCTGGGTAAAATCATTCAAGGTGTCAATAAAAATATGTAAAGATGGGGATCATTTCTCTATTGTACATGTTGTATTCTATGAAAAACCTGTAAATATTTAATAACTTTCGAAAATGTTGAATTCTAGTGATAAAATCCTTATAGTCACATATATTTTACTACAGATGATCAACACCAAATCACTTTGGTTTGGTTTAAAATTAAACATTTACAAAAAGATTTTTTAAAAAATGTATTAAATTAGCCATCAAAACCCAATATTTGAGCCTTCCCTGGGACTCATGGCCACCCTGACCATGGCATTATCTGTCGACCCAGACAGACAATCAGTAGTCAGTCTGACACTGGATGACTCATTGTGTGTACTCGGGATTCCAGTTAAACCCACTGAAGAATTCGTGTTGAGGTAGCGTCCGAAAAGTACCACTTACCAGGCTGGTCAGAAGGGAAAAAGTTCCCTTGAGGAATCTTGGCCGGGGGTGGGTCCTTCTTTGTCTTGGATTTGGTCGCTTTTGGATTTCCTTCTTTTCCTTGTTGGGCTCCCATCTCTCTCCGGTTGTTCACGACTCCCTAGCCCCCTTCTCCTTGCATGTCGGCTGCACCACTTCACGTCATTGTAGATAATTGGTAAGTAGCAAATTTTGAGGAAATACTTGAACTCATGTAGTTGACACAACGGGGAAAAAGTCGATAATCTATTCCCTCGTATTCACTTCCTTCCTTCCGAGTCCGCCATATTGGTCTGTTCCCAATGCGAAAACGAGGCGGTAATTGTTCTATCTATCCCATCCGAAACTCGATATTTCGAAAGGACAAGCGTATAGCTTATAGTAAAAAGTCTAGAAACAATCCGATGTATTGAGTCATATTGGTCTCAAAATATGAAACACTGTTTTTGTTATTATCAACAAACATGATAACAAATCAATGAATGAATACACTTGATTCGCTTCGACATAACATGTAATAACTAAATTCAATGGGATTTCCTTGTCAAACAAAAGATATTGTGCTGTCAACTTATCATGGGAGTGGCGGATCCCAGTGGCAGTGTGCTGCATAAATTATACCCACTTTTGGCGCCATTTTAAAAGGAGCTGTTAAGAATTTTTAGAAATATTTACTTCCCTCTTCCTAATATATTTAAAGTTTTTAAAACCTAAAACCCATCCACATGCATTCATTTATCAGTGTTTATATACCGGTTTACATGTACAATGTACCCGTTTATAGGTCCCTGCTTACATTTGGAAAATTAATGGAAATAATGAATTCAATTACTTATTCTTGGTCTAGTAAAATACTAAGCATGTTTTAGTCCATTACAAATTAATTACTAACTGTTAAAAATATTCCTTAACTAGAGTCTATGTACATGTATAAACTGATAAATGTGCCGATGATAATTCACATGGGCTCTCAAACTGTATGTAATTCATTTTCATGCCCCCGTAATCAAAGATTTGAGGGCATATAGTTTTTGTCCTGTTCGTCCGTCCGTCTGTCTGTTCAGTTATACATGTACATATCTGTTTGCATGTTTGTCCCAAAAACTTCAAAATTGCCCATAACATAACTTTTGAGTGGGTGCGCCATGGGGCTATGAAGTTTATATTTCTCAGATGTATTTCCCGTGACAAGACCTTTCTTGGGGTATCATTAAATTTGACCTTGACCTTGGAGTTTGACCCACTTTTACAAAAAATAAAATTTCACACTTTAACCTTTGCCATAACTTTTAAACAGTTGGTTCTAGGGCTTTCATACTTCACACGTGTATTCATTGTAACAAGACCTTTCAATGTCATTATGGGTATAAATATTTTGACCTTTACCTTTAAGTTTGATCCACCTTTAAAAAACCTACATGTATATCCTTGGCCATAACTTTTGAACAGTTACATGCAGCACTGAATGGTTTTAATTCACGTTTCACAGACTAGACCTTCCTTCGGATATTAACAATTTTGACCTTTTGATAATGGCGTTTGGAGTTTAACTTTGCATCTGAAAAACTTCAAACCCTCACCATCAGCTACCAAAATGGGAGCATCAGTGTTTTACAGACACATCTTTTATTTTATTTCAATAAACCAGTAGTTGCACTTAGTTACAATATGAAATTGAATATTAACTGGAAACCTGGCTTAGGATTTTATTTAACAAGATGCGTTTGTGAATCACTGACAGTTGTACTTTATCTGATATGGATAGGCTAGAAAAGGTTCAGTTAAGTGCCGCATGAATAGTTACAGGTTTACCCATTTTAGCGTGGAAAGAATCTCTCTTCTTAGAGACAGGGTGGGAACCTATAGACAAACGTCGTCATATTGATAAGCAATATCCATATTCAAAAGCATGCACCCAAGGTTATGGCCAAGGTTTAAGTTTGAAAATAGGTCAAACTCTAATGTCAAGAGGACAAATTTGGTGGTACCCCTACAGAAAGTTCTTGTCACAAGGAATACATGTGTAATCTGAAAGCCACAGCCCCGCCCACTCAAAAGCTCTGGAGAAGGTCTAAGTGTCTATAAAGACAGACGGACAGGGCAAAAACTATTTAACTCCGAATCTTCGATTACGGGGCCCGGGGCATAAAATATAATTATTGGTCTTGACAACTTTTACTTTAATGAAGTACGTAGTCCTTGCCAGGTCCCGTTGTTTGGATTGTCAGCTTAGAACATTCCTTTATTTTACGAAGAACTGACCGGCATCCCCTCTTCATGACTCCATATTGATGAATTTAAACGTTTTTCTTCTTTCATTTCAAAAGGCCATCTTTGAACAAATGTTTGATTGCCCTCTCCTGACTCAGGATAAACAAGATGTGTTTGTGAAACACTATGCCCCCGATGGTAACACAATTCTGGAGTGGGTCGTAGACTGAGGTGGTATACACTTATCCTCGACAGCGCAATATTTATGGGCTAGGTTAACGTTGACAACAGACAGACAAGACAAAGGCAATATACTCCCGTGATGTTTCGATCTTGGAGCATAATAAAAAAGTTGAATCTCTAGGTGGGGAAGAGGCTTTTTAAAATTCCCGGGTGTAGATATCGTTTTGTCCAGTCTGTCTGTTTTTCTATCTGTCTGTCGTCAACTTTAACCTAGAACATAACTATATATTGAGTAGGTGCAGCTATGGCTTTCATATTTCACAAGTGCATTCCTTGTGACCTTTCTTTGGATACAACCAAATTGGACCTTTTGACCTTTGAGTTTGACCTACTTTTACAAAAAAATACCACACTTTAACCTTGGCCATAACTTTTAAACAGTTGGGGCTTGGACTTTCATACTTCACATTTGTATTTATCGTGACAAGACCTTTCAACTGGTATAAATATTTTTTTTTACCTTGACCTAACAGTTTGACCCACTTTTTAAAAACTTTAACCTTGGTCATACATTTTTAACATTTAGAACTAGGACTTTTATATCTCAGGTTTCTTCCCTCTAACAAGACGTTCCTTTGGGTACAACACTTTTGACATTGACCTTTGAAGTTTGACATGCATTTGAGAGAATTCAACCTTCACGGGGGCATCAGTGTTTCAAAAACACATCTTGTTTTAAACTCAAAAATACTTGCAAATGCGATGTTAAATATAGTTATTAATAGTAGGAGATAAATAAGAAATGAAAAAAAAAACCATTTTTTTTGGGGGGGGGGGTTAAATTTTTGAGTCGGAGCATTTTTAGTCAGTCGATCGGGAGCTATAGGAACAGTTTTTTTAACGATGGCATAATGATTTATTGTTAGAAAATGCCAATTTTTCAAATCTTTTTTAAACCTTAACTTCCCCAAGACGCTGAACGTTTTAGTTTTGAAGATTTTTAAAATCAGCTCATGGCGAAGGTTGAATTCTCTCAAATGCATGTGTCGAACTCCAAAAGTCAAGGTCAAAAGTGTTGGTATCCAAAGGAAGGTATTGTTACAAGGATTACATTGTGAAATATGAAAGCCCTAGTTCTTGTTCAAAAGATATGTTCCAACTCTTAGGTCAAAATCAAAAGTTCAAAAATATTTATACCAGCTGAAAGGTCCTTTCACAATGAATACACAGGTGAAATATGAAAGCCCTAACTCCAACTGTTCAAAAGTTATAGCCAAGGTTCAAGTGTGGTATTTTTGTAAAAATAGGTCAAACTCCAAGGTCAAGGGGTCAAATTTGGTGGTACCAAAAGAAAGGTCTTGTCACAAGGAATGCATTTGTGAAAGACGAAAGCCATAGCCCTGCCCACTTAATAGTTATGGGCTAGGTTAAAGTTGACAACAGAGAGAAAAATAGACAAACAGATAGTACCTAGATGCTAACATGCAAAAATTGGTTTAAATTGGTTAACACGACTTACACTGAAATCAGATAACATTAGGCCTATGTCACCTGAATGACTCACGTGACCTAAAAATACTTGCAAGATTGACCAGAAGTTTGGTAATTTCTGACTCAAAACCCAAGTATCATTTTTTAATTGGTGTCCATTTTCATTCAATATATATCTCCCCCTTCCCCTTTGAAAGGTAAATGGTCCTCATTACCAAAGATTGCTTTGTGTCAAGTTAAGTTGAAATTGGCCTGTGGATTTGAAAAGTCTATATTAAATTATGAAAAGTTTAATTTATGACAGTCAGACAGATTCAAGTATGGGTATCAATTTAGCTCATTTGGCAGAGCACCTGAGGGGTGATTCAGGGGGCCCATATTCAAAACTAGTCCTGTCACACTTTTTACTCCAACAGGTGGACAACTGAAGAGAAAAAAAGAGGAATAGTTAGTGGAGTGACCCAGGTAACCAAAAAAAAAAAAATAAAACAATCCATCAGTAGTCCCAATTTGATTGTTATAGAAAATGACATTTTAAAAAAATATATATATTTTTAACATTAATTGGTGAAATAATTGTTGTAAATTATTAATGCTTGTTAGATTAAAATAAGAAAGAAAATCCAGAGATGTGTTAAGTTTACTCAAACTATGCATCACAGGAAGGAACCAGCAATATAACAACCTACAATACAGGGGTAATTAACTTAAGTTATGGCTTTAGGTGCTGATAGGCCCAGACAGGGTATAGGAAAAACACAGGCAAGCTGTAAGTCTTTACTTCAAAAACTTTGTAATAAAAGCATTCATATTTAACAAAAACTAATGCCAATTAAGTGTATCTTCTACATTACTTTTGACTCATTAAATATTTGTAAGGGGGAGGGGTGTCTATCAACAAAAAAAAATGTATAATTTCTGCTGACTTAATGGCCATAATAATACTCATTCTAAGAGAAATGTTTATAAACTTGTTTATTGGGGATTAACATCTCCATTTTGTGATATACAATATATTAACATTAACAGCAGAGCAAAAACTGAGAGAAATAGTGACACACACTGGATTTGTGGTTATACAAAATATTAGCACTTGTAAAATACCTCCATGTTCATGTATAATCGTCCATTCTAATTTTCCATTCCATGTATCATAAATACTAGTATATATTTATACATGAATATCACAAATTTGAAAATAAAGTCTCAAGATACTCAGCATGAATTTAAAATCAGAAAAAAAAATGACAGACAATATTTTTCAAGCTTCATACAAAGAAAAGCACAATACTGTATATTACTTCATCATCTTTTCTAAGATTTTATATAACAAATTCCAATGGGAGATAATTATTTTAAAACATATCATTTGAATGCAAAAGTTTTCCCTTATATAATGAATGAGAAGAAAACTTGAATACATTTTAATATTAGATACCTAATCCTAGCTGCAATAATGTAGCCCTCTCCGATTTTTTTTTTTGGGGGGGGAGACGGCTACAACTCCTTAGGATCTCCGTAATGGTGCAATGCAGCAGTGAATCACTCCCGGACGGATTTCAGCTCAAATCATCAATAAACGGCTATTTTATTAATATCTCTTACCTGGACTCCAAAAAAGTAATTATGTAAGACATAAATCGATCCAAAAATATTCACAACAACCCATATATCGGTTATTTTTCGTGTATGTCAACATCACAACTTGAATTATCCGCCATGTTTACTGACCTTGATAGATTTTATTTTGGGACAGCCAATGAGAATTTAGAGTCTATAGGAGCGGATCGTTTAGGAATTCCCTTATTTTAAGCATTCATATTGCTGTTTGCGTGAAAATAACGCTTGAAATGGTTTTGTTTATTGATATATTTGTGATACATTTCAGCACAGTCGTTTATAAACATCGACATTTGCTTTATTAAGTTGTTCTAAATTTCAAGCGAAAGTCTCAGTACGTCACGCGTGAACTGTCATGGCTGCTGCTGGTAAACATGCAGATATATTTTACATGGTTTTCGAGTTAAGCGGGCTATGTTGTTGACAGTGAATAAAAATTCCGTCTTATAAGAAGTAATTTGAATGTAAAAATATTTTATTTTGCCTTCAATCGCCCGTATTAAAAAAATATATTTGCATCATTACGAAGATGCGATGGAATTGTAGCCCTCTCCAGAAAACATCAGATAAAAAAACTGGGAGAGGGCTACATTATTGCAGCTAACCTAATCCAGTTTCCATTTTGATGCTAAGAATATATTTCTTTTTTAAAGTTACACTTAGAAACTATTGCATATAAAATAAATTTGCAAAAATTTAGTTTTCAATACATGTGAAATTTAAAATCTCCACTTGCACCAATCTTGCTAAATTACTTTGTCACAGTTCTCTGTTAGATTTTCATATCTGCACCAACGGTTTTAATCTCCTAGATTTCTTGAAGACTGAGCCCTACATTTGTTTTGTAGGAAGTACGCCCACTTTTCTGGTGAGTCTCTCGCGTAACGACACAGCTGGGGAAACTCTCTTACTACTTTCCTCCTCTACCTGTGAAAAATAAAGATAAAAGATTTATTTTGTCACACAAAGCTGCATCTCTGTCTGAACACATGTGAAATTTGAATGTTGAGACTTACCCTGTTGATAACATGCTTATTGACTAAACCTTCATCATTGAGGTAATATAGAGAAATTCCATCATACCATCTAAATAATATAAAACATTAAATCAATAGAGAGAATGAATCTTGAATGTCAAGGTACATATCAAATTTAAGAAAATTTTCAGATCTTCCCTCTGAAGAATCTGTTAAATCTTCAAGACAATGAAAGATGAATTGCTAAAATCTGAAGGTTTATATTATAATACAAACATACACTGCATCTTTTTCCAAAACTCTGTCAGGCATTTTCGAAATCTTCCAGAATTTTCCATATACATTAAGGCGTTTCATCGCTGCTAACTGCTTCAGTCCTAAAATCCTCCATCGCACTCGCACAAAGTTTTCATCCAAGTCACATGAGGTATTTAGCAAACACAGCCTTGTGTGAATAAAGCGTATGCCTGTCAAGGTCTGTAGAGTCCAGACTTTAGCTTTGTAGCGCTGTAGTCCACTGAAAAGGAAAAAAAAAATCATAGAGCAAAGCTATTAGATACACCTTAATATTCATGCATGAGAGTTCAAATTTACAGATATTAAAAGAAATAAAATAATTGGTCTACTCACAGTGTAATTTCTTTTTTTCCCCAGTAATTATTCTCCAGTACAATGTTGGGTGAATAGGCATCAAAGGATATACCTATTTCAAATAGTGGTGGAAGCTGAAATGTCAAGACAATTGCATAAAAACAATTATGAATTCAAAGGGGTGGAAGAGGCAAATATTTATGGCTCAGTTTATTGGGCATATTTTCTTTAATCTTAAATTACATGTATTTAGATACAGCATATATCAGAGAGGGACAAAGACAGACATCAAAATGAAAGGGACATTTTAACTTGAGTACATCAAGTGAAGAAAACATCTAAAATTTTAAGCTCTCTTCATAGTGGGCTAGCATGTTAAGTCTGAACATTTAATCAAATATCTCATACAGACTGCTCAAGAAAAGCCCTCATTTTCAGTAGATTTTCCTCTCTTTTCGCTCTTTTCTTCTCAAACTCTGAATCTGTTGGGGTTCCTCCTGAACTTGCTCCATTGCTTAAAAAAATGTCCACTGCATTAGACGATGAGCTAAATTTAAAATCACTTTTAAAGGTCAAACGTGGCACAAGTCCAAACTTATCATCTTTTTGTGACACTTTGTGTTTATAATGGTTGCTGTGAGATAAAGATGTTCTTTTAAGTGCATTGCACTTTCTATCATTAATCTTCTCATGGCCCTCTTTAACTAGTTCACGTCTTAAAACTGTCTCGAAATCAAATGAATTGTCAAAAATTCCTGAGATGCTTCCATTGACCGATGGTTTTTTCTTGTTACATTCTTGAAGGATTTCATCTAAATCATTGATTGATACCTACAATGAAACAGATCATAGATGAATTTTTAGAGTAAGTTCAATAAATCTTACGCAAGTTATATCTAAGATGAGAATACGTGAATTAAATCTGGGTTATCCCATTGTCAAACAATCCGAGTATATATTGGAAAAAATAACTCAGAACTTTATATCTGCCTTTTGGTTTTAACTTGGATGACATGATGCAACTGCTGCTCTTTCATTATGTAACAGAGGTACCCACCCTGGGATTAACACAGGTTACTGTAGTGGCACTCTGTACTCTTTTGTCTATGTGGGTAAAAGCAGGTGTTTGCAAGAAATCTACAGCAGATCTGCACGCTCGTATTCTCTGGCTGATACACCGAATATGGAATGCCATTATGTGACACCCCTAGCAGAAGTCAGAGAATGCGAAAGTGTCCTTGTCAAAACCTCGTTTTTCCCCCATGAAAATGTATTAATAAAGCTAAATACGGGAAAAGCAGATTGAACCGAATATATTTAATATCGTATGAGAATGATGTATTGGCATTCATTTTGAATACATTACACAAGATGAATAAGAAAAAATATTTTGAAGATAAATAATTATTAGAAAACACTGTAACTACATCATTTAATAAACTTTAAAATAAATTAATATAACTCAATCTTTACGGCAATTAGTTGACATTTTGAGTGTAGTTCAAACCCGACCTTATCAATGCTTATCAGATTTATAGATTTAATTTCAAATCTTCAAGCACACTCCTAACAGATTCAGTAACAATTATCCAATTATCTCGGTACGGATAAAACACACTTTTAAATAAATCATTTTGATTTATTATTTTTTAGTTTTTACACATCTTCGCTAGCCAAGGGTTTCTGATACGCTACTCTCTTCATAAACCCTTGGCCTACGGTGTTCATAGAAATTGAGATTTTTTTCCATTGAGAGTAAAATTGCATATGAAGTGTGATACAATATAGATCTAGCAATTAATCAGCAATTGTTTTTTGTAAATGTTACGTTATTTGTACATGTAGTTGAACAGGCCTCACTGCATTTAATCACGTTAATGAAAAACGCAAGTAAACAACGATCCGTAAAATAACATTCAATTCTATGAATAGCTATATGGTGTCATCCAATATCTTCTAAATATGTGATTAAGAGGTCTATATTGAAGCTCTTCCCAGCATTTGTTCTATAAATAATGAATAAACATAACTCAATTAAAACTTCTTGATTGCATTCCGAAAAAACTTTTATTTAATTCTTTTTAACACGTGTCTATATATTTTTGTCCTGTCTGTTTGTCTGTGTCTGTACCTGTTTGTCTGTTTGTCTGTTTGTCTGTTGTCAACTTTAACCTTCGCCATAACTTTTGAACAATAAGAGATAGACCATATTTGGTATGCATACTCCAGGAATAAAGTCCTTTCAGACATCAAGGTCAATGACCTTGTGACCTTGACTGTGACCTTATGCTCAAAATAGCTTTTTCCACTGTTTGTCATAACTTTTGAAAAATAGATAGGGACTTCATATTTGGTATGCATACTCTGGATAAAGTCCTTTCAAACGACAGCAAGGTCAATGATCTTGTGACCTTGATGTGATCTATTTAAAAATATATTTTACACTTTTTGCCATGACTTTTGAACCATAGAAGATAGGGACATCATATTTGGTATGCATAATCCACCGATTAAGTTCTTTCAAATGACACCATGGTCAATGACCTTGTCTGACTGTGACCTATATGCTGAGAAAAGCTTTTTCCACTGTTTGTCATAACATTTGAAGCATAGGAGATAGGGAATTATTTTGGTATGAAAAACTCCACCGATAAAGTCCTTTTAAAAAAAAATCATAAACATATGCTAAAAATATCTCTTTACACTTTTTGCTATAACTTTTGAACCATATCAGATAGGGATATATTTAGTATGCATACACCGATTAAATTCTTTTAAATGACACAAAGCTCAATGACCTTGTGACCTTGACTGTGTAATATGCTAAAAATAGTTTTTGAACTTTGTTGCTGCCAGGAGCATAGTGTTTCAAAACACATCTTGTTTTTTTTTTTTTTAAGGGGGCCGACTATAGTTTTATTGTGTGAAAACTACAATAGCGAAACTCTTAATTTTTATACCATATATAACTTACATTAACTTCAGTGTACATGCAAAGTTTCGGGGAAATCTACCGTCCAGGAATTTTCGAGGGACCGTCTCAAAATACAGGTACATTTACCATAGGATTATATAGGAAAATGCCAATTTTTAGCACTTTAAAGCAAATTATACAAATACTACAATAGACATTTTGTTCAAACTATAATATTTGATGAGTAATACTATATTATACAATATATGTAAGAGACACAAAATTCTACCGTCTTGTTACCAGAGGGGTCATCTCAAAATGCAAAAAATTAGCAAATTTTACTATTTTTATAGCGTACTACAAAATATGACGTACACAATGGATTCACATGAAAACATGATAAAAAATACTGGAGATTTTCTCAAATTTCTTTGTTTTAAATTTCAAAAGCGTATGTTTATTACTTTTTCTTTAATGATATTTTTATTACCCATTTCTTTAAGAGCTTAACGTCAAAAAAGACACTGCAGCGACGTCAACCTACCTATCAATTGCAAAACCGGTTAAAAAATTAGTAATATCAAATTGTAATAACATTTTAATACCCATAATTTCTTAATTTTGTTTAATTTTAATAATTAAGCAAAAAAAGTTGCATTAAAACAGTAAATATGCTTCATTTTACTATGATGCGCAAAATATTGCGCAATGGAAACTATAGTCGGCTTTCTTAAATAAAATTCAGATTTTTGTTAAATAACAAATAATATAGCTTTTCCATGTTTTCATAGGCCTACTAAACATGAGTAACATCCACTCTTGCTATAAACCACTGATAAAAACAAAAGTCAAAAATTGAAAATGAAACAGTTTCAATATTTTGAAAAATTGAAGAAAAAAAAAAAAATTACAAAATGGCTATTGTGCTGAATTATTAATCACAAACCAAACAAACTAATTTTTATTTTAGGCCTACCGGTAATTGTAACAAGAAATGAGAAAAATGCAAGTAACTGAATCTCCAGTTAACTGAATTAACTGCCTTATATATATAGCCTAACGACTGTATCTCTCTCCCCCTCCTCTTATAGGTCTTTGCCTTTATGGTTTAATTAAGCTGCTCAAAGTAGCTTTATTCAGCTGCTAAGCATACTTCTTTCTTAAATGAGCACTTTTAAGCAAAGATTGTATTTCCACTGTTTTAGTAAGTGTAAACCACCTTGTGTGTACATATATGTAGCAAGCCATGATATTATACTATAAAAAAAAACATATTGTGCTGAATTATTATCACAAACCAGAACTGGTCTTATTTGTTATTCCTTTCAAGAAGTCACAGATTAACTGTTATATACATTATATATCCTTGAAAAATACACTTTTAAGATCATAAGTATGATTTTGTAGACCAATAAGTTCTGTATAGCTGAATACAGCCATTAAGGTACTGTTATGTAGCTAAATGGAGTGATTGTGCCAGACCTGTTTTTTTTTTTTTAAATCTTATCATGTTTTGTTGTGATCAAGAGGTTGACCTTATTGAAGAGAAATTTGAGCACACATATCAATATGAAATTTATTACACGTTCAATATTTCAGTATAATGTCATGGTTTAACGAAACATGAAGAAGCTTGTTCGCTGTAGAAGTTTCTGTGGCAGACATATTCTGATCAGAGGAACACACACACTGCTGGTTTTAGGAGTTCCTGCTACTCTACTGTATAAAGAAACATGTAAGTGGACAGCTGGTGTAACATAATTTATTGTGAAAAACTAAGTCAATATTTCCTTGTGTCTTTGAGCCAGATGACATTTTATGCCCCTTAGATTGGGGATTGGGCCATTTTAACCATACCTGTTTTAGCCAATCTTTTGTCTCATTCCTATTTTTTTTACAAGATAATAGTTGCATTTAAAATTTTCTATAACTTCTGCTTTTGTTCAATATAATCTATCAATTTGTAGACATTTACAGTATATGTATACATCTGTTTATATAAATTAAAAACTCATAGCATTATTAGTATAATTAAATATTATTATTAAATTAACAGTTAGTCATATTTATTTTCAGATAAACAAGTTGTTTGTGCAGTTTCATTTAACTAGCATTATTAGTATAATTAATTATTAATAAATTAAAAGTATTACCAGCTGAAAACAGGAGAAAATTAAAAATGAATTGCCTTGTGATTTTTTTTACTTTACAGCATTGAAGAAGGCCCTTGTGGACAGAGAGGACTTGGTGTATGGCTGTAGTTATGTCCTGCTTGTCCTTGTAGCTCTGGTCACGTATTTTGCTGCATGTTTAAAAAATCCTGGATACATTGGACGAAAGCAGTCAAAGCGGGTAAGGATAGAGACCTCTGTTTTAAAATTTACAAGTTTTTAACAAGAGTTATGGTTCTTTGTATATGACTGAGCGTAGATTCTGTTGTGTTGATATGGAAGTAAGGCAACCTCTGGGGAACCCAAGAAAACCCAAGACAAAAATAATGAAGTTTGGAAACTGCATGTTCTACTTTGGTTATTTTGAAGATTAAAATATAGACAACTTTTTTGTACAAATATGATTAAGTGTATTTTAGTTGTAAAACGAGATCATTGATAAATCACACTGTAATGTGAAGTTAAATCAGTTGACTTTTACACACTTGTTACTAGATATCAAAGGCTTTATCAGAAAAACATGAGGACTTGGAGGAAGACGATTCAGACACAACTCCCATGATGCCTCAGTCTGATAACGCTCCCCTGATTGGTCAATCAGAGACTAATGAGGAAAGACTGAAGGCTCTGAAGCAGCGCTTTAGATATTGTGATTATTGTGAAATAGAGGTACAATAATATGTTTCTTAAAGCAGTTTCTGATTAAGCTATACATTGAAATACTCATGACTACCACTATTTACAACAAGTTGCCTATTTATCCAAAGGAAACTTGATGTGTTGAAGGTTGATCTGATGTACAGTAACACATGTTTATATCAATCATGCTTATAATGATTTGACAAAGGGATTTTCATTTCCTGCGACTTTAAAATATATTTTATACCTAATGAATATACATATGTACATGTATTATGCCTTATGACCAAGCAAGTCATGCATCTCTGGCACCTTCTTAAAAGCATGTTTTATATTTTAAGCCCATTTTAATATAATGAACGCTTTATAAACCGCGAAGCAGTATATAAAAAGCGGTGTATAAAATGGGTAGCTATTAAATTCATTGCTTATAATTTAATTTTCATTCGTTTGATGTAAGAAAAGAAGATGATTGTTCTAACAAAATGACTTCAGTTTGTACAAAATTTGAATGTAACGTCAGGCGAATTGATACGTGTTTGACGCAAGTCATTGTGACGTAGGCAACTCATTTTATAGGATATAAAGTAAATTTTTTATCCAATCAAATACAGCGTTACAAACAAAATTAAATTATTCTGATATAAATATAATTGGACTGCACTTAAAAATCAAAATGTCAAGTAAACATCATATAAGTTTATGCTTATGAATTTTAATTGAACTGTGGTGTTCACCATGTTTTGTCTTCCAGCAACCGATGCGTGCTAAGCACTGTGAGGATTGTAAGCAGTGTGTAAGGAAACACGACCACCACTGTCCGTGGCTGGATGCCTGTGTGGGGGAGGGAAACCACAAATACTTCTGGACCTTCCTGCTGGTCACCACCATCCTCATTCTCTGGACCTTTGCAATCACATGGTGAGTTTTAGCTCACCTGAGCAACTCATAAAACCATGAAATTCACAATTATTGAGATTTTATACCATATTTTTTTTTTACAGAAATATTCATTATAATTGACAGACTCATTGATTGTATGAAATCTATTATGGTGATTGTGTTCACAAAATTAAAGAAATGTTATATAAAGTGCTAATTGATTAAGCGTGAGACAGTCCTTACATGGAACATTTTAATTGGTCAGTACTTGACTTCATTTCAGGACAAATTTCCAGTATGAGGTGTCTTGGAAGGACTGGTGGGAGAGAAATGTGGTGTTTATTATTGATATGTTAATCTTGTCCTTTGGAGGCTTCACTGTGATTGGACTTCTGGGATTCCATACTTTTCTGATGTTCCGTGGACTGACCACATGGGAACTTGTTTCCCGTGAACGGATCACATATCTTAAACATCTCACCGAGGATTTCCACCCTTTTGACGAGGGCTGCTTTTTGAACATGTATAACTTCCTAACTGTTTGTAAATACAGAGAATGGGAGTGTATGTACGATCGAAAAGTGGATCAGCAGGAAATAGTGTAGAAGTGAAGCAGAGTGATTGAGGGAAAATTACCGGTACAGTAGAAGTGTTATAAGTGAGTAATCAAAGGGAGAGTGAGTAATCAAAGGGAGAGAATGTGACTGAGTAATCAAAGAGAATTTAACTGAGTAATCAAAGGGAGAGAATGTTACTGAGAAATCAAAGGGAGAGAAGCAAAATGTTGGATTTTTAGCTCACCTGTGTCAAAGACTAATATGAGGTTTAATGAAAGCTAGCTTCCTGTTGTCTGTTGTAAAAGCATATCAGAATTTCATCCTTTTCTTCAGAATTATTTGGTCCATTTTAATTAAACTTTCCACAAAACATCCCTGAGTAGTGAAAACTGTTTTACATGAGAATACTTGCATATTTAATAGGAAAAGGTTTTAAAATCTTTTTCTCTATTACAGAAATGTTGCTTTTGAAACAGAATACTATGTGTTTTTCCCCTGAATATTTGTGTATTTTATGGATTTAAATAATTTGCTAGTATGTAAATATAAAGAGTGAGATTTTTTTCCTGAATGCATAATGTAATATGCATGGGGGTTGGACTTTAGAATTAATATTGCATATTAATTAATCACAGGCTGATGGTGGAGTGTTTGTAAGTGAAGTAAAGTAGCATCCAGTTGTAAATCTATAAGAAATGTTTTATTGTTGATGTTATTTCATTATCTTATTGTTTACTTGAATTATTGATGCAATACACATTGCACTTCGACATTGTATTAATGTAATCAAATGCTGTTTTTGTGTTACTAGACGATCTAGCGAGATATTGTTGAACAGACAGTAAGGGACAGTGATACTGAGATGTTGTATGTCAGTTTTTCATCATTATCTACCATATTACGACTGTAATTTACTTACTTATTTCAGCATTATCACATGTGTTGTAAATTGGGCGCCTGCCATCTTTCTTACGAAGAAATTAGTCATGTGACATAAACATTGTTGTTTTACAATTGATAAGATCGAAATAACACTGTCCGTGTCCTCAAATATTCATAATTGATACTTAAATGTTATTTTATTGCAGTATTGTCATTTAATTATGCTGTATTTGACGAAATGTTTTGGAACTTGAATGTGTAGCGTAATACTTATGTGTTTGCATTATTGTTCGGTATTACTACGCCATGGATTGTGTGTGTCCGTTTTATTACAGATTGTTTGTTGAACTTGTTTTCTAATGTATATCGAATAGAATTTATAGCTCCCACTTTACATGTAGAAAGGACATTTTGAGCGATGTTATTTTCTTTGTATTACACAAAATGTATGTAAAGTAGTTCCGAGTTGCTCCAGAAAGGACAATTATTCATTGGTTGTTGTGATCACGTGACCATTTATGGAAGGTTATATATATGAGCAGCGAACGCCAGTTTCATCACGACGATCGTAACGATCAGATCATATTACGTCATCAACATCACTGACTGTAAATTACTAGTGACTTAGGTAAAAGAAAATAATGTAAACTAATACAAATTAAGTAGTGTATAATTTCTCCACCGCACGGACACCGCAATCCACTGTGTTTTATTAGGCCAGAGATGTTAAGCTAGGACTTTATATACTCAATAGATGTACGTTATTTTGACTGTTTTGTTATATTTCATTGAACTTTGAAGTCTTTATTAAATGAAATATTTGAAACGAAAAAATGGAACTTGGTTATGATTTACAAGGATGTGAAGTAAATTATCAAGGGTGTTTAAATACATGTGACAGTGGCTGAGGATCATTCATTTATTTTTTATTTCAATGCTAAAACCTAGAAGTATCTGTTTTCCCCCTGATTGAAGAATTTTTTTTATATGTGGACGGATGTCATGATGTAGTCCTGATAAAAATATAATTTTATAATTTATTGAATTTACACGGGAATTTGGAAACATTGTAAGCTGATTGGCATTTGACAGGGTGCTGAGGAAGCTTACAATTTTTGGTGTCAGAAGTGGGATGTCCTACCATATACGAGGACATCTAGGATACGAACCCGTACTTTAATACCTGTCAAGTACTGAAATAGAGTGGATTGCGGACTGTCGTGTGGTGGAGGAAAAAAAATCTATTTTTAAAATAACGATGTACATATGTTCTTGTTACTGTTTTTATAGTTAAAAATGGAGGATGCTACTTCGCCGGATCCTGAAGTATTTATAAATGAACATAAGGAAAATGTTCAGTTAGGCCAAGGGGATGAAACAGATGTCTGTGGGAGGAACACTGATGACGAATATTTAATGGCAAATGAAAATCCTTTGGAAAGAGATGACAGTGATGACAATGACGACGAAGGAGGACATAATTTCCGTCGGCGATCTGATTATCAGTTAGCTGACGACGCACAAAGTGATCACAATCGCATTTCTACACTTATGATCAAACCCGAACCCTACGATGGAAAAGAAAGTTGGGAGGAATACTTTTCTCACTTTCAAGAATGCGCTGAACTTAGCCACTGGGACGACAGGACTAAACTTCTTTTCTTAGCCGCTAGCTTACGTGGACAAGCCAGGACTTTCTACATGAGCCTAACACTTGAGGAAAGACGCACGTTTAAAATTCTTGTTCAGCGTATGGACCAGAGATTTGGTAGTTCAAAGCACAAAAATAGGTGGCTTTCAAAACTGGAAATGCGTAGGCGGATGCCTGGAGAAAATATTGCAGATGTTGGAGACGATATACGGCAATTATCACAAAAAGCTTACAGTAACTTGGACATTGACGCTCAGGAATCACTGGCCCTGAACCACCTTTACAAAATTATTCCCGTTGAAATGAAATGCCGTTGTATTGACAAGGAGTGTAGCACTGTTGCAGAAGCGGTAGACGTCATTGAGAGATACGAGTCAATAATGGGGGATGGGGATAAAAAGAAAATAAATGTTAGACATGTGGATCAAGAACAAGCAGTCAAACAGCCCACTGGAGAGCAAAAATCAAATAACTTAGAGGATACAATCAAGTCACTAATCAATAGATTAGAGAAACTGGAAAGTGCACAGAGAATGGAACCTCGGAAGGGCAATAACTCTTGGACTTGCTTCATCTGCAATTCACCAGATCATCTCATGAAGGACTGCCCAGACCGATGGACAAGAGGACAACAGATGACCCCGACCTCTAACCTGAATAAAAGACATGGCAGTGGAAACATGAGAGATAACAAATATCATTAAGTCAGGAGTCGGCACAAGAGGAATGTCTTTCTGTTGGAAATGAACATACTAGGAATGGCCACACAGGGGATATAACTCTCTTACGGGACAATGGATTTTATACAAAAGGAAACATATTTGACAAAACAATATATTTTCTAGGATAGTGGATCTACTGCATGGATTATTTAGTTAAAAATTTTACTAAACTCTCAAAGGAAACTAGCTCTAACATACGGCCTGCAACCTCTGACATTCAGGATGTAAATGGGAATTTAATAGAGAACATCAGGACCATTGTACTGGATGTATCTTTTGGGAAAGAAGCATTGCCACACGAATTTGTAATTTGCAAAATTTCACAAGATAGGATCCTTGGAAAGGACTTTCTTCTTAACTACATCACAAAGATAAATTGCCAAAGGATGGGTTTGCTGTATTAACTTCAAAATGAAAAGGACCTTGTAACAGGACAACTAGATGACTTGACTTAATTTATAGGATAGGTTGATATATATCGAGGCATCAACTTGCAACCCTGGTTCAGGAAGTTCATACCACAAAACTAAATGATGTCGGACAGTAGTTTGATGATACCAGATTTTTTTTTTTGTTTTATTATATTGACACATGTCTATAAAGATGGATGTTGTCCTAGGTGGTGCACCACACTAGGTGAATGTGTAGATAGTGACTGGCCATTACTATTAGTGCACATTAGGACCTCAGTTGTCTAGGGCTGGGCCGGACTGCAGGTGGACCTCAGTTGTCTAGGGCTGGGCCGGACTGATACTTTTGTTGATTTCAATCTACTACTGGAATAAAATTATAAATGGATAATTGATGTCACTTCCTGATCCTGGGAGGAATCTACAAAAACAATGAAGAATAAGACCCGATTGATTGACTGACTGATTCCCATAGGAACCTACCTTTATCAACTACATCCAATTCTAACAAGAATTTCCAATCTTGTACTAGCTTATGCACAGGGAGCTGTAAACTTTATACATGGGATGGATGGTGGATTTTCATGGTGGAGACGAAGAGATGGAGAAAGGAGAAAGAAGTAGCAGAGAGAGGCGAGATGGAGAGATGGAGACAGAAGTAGCAGAGAGACGAGATGAAGAGATGGAGAAAGAAGTAGATGAAATGGTATCAGACGAGCAGGCAGATGTGTGAGAATTTCCGAAAGAAGCGGTTGAATGCAGGAAGAATAAAGATTTCATTGATGATGGAAGCAAGAAACTAGCAGAACCAGACGATTTTGATTAAGACTGTAAATTCAGGAGAATTTGACTTTTTAAGTGGGGGGAAGTGTAATATGCATGGGGGTTGGACTTTAGAATATTGCATATTAATTAATCACAGGCTGATGGTGGAGTGTTTGTAAGTGAAGTAAAGTAGCATCCAGTTGTAAATCTATAAGAAATGTTTTATTGTTGATGTTATTTCATTATCTTATTGTTTACTTGAATTATTGATGCAATACACATTGCACTTCGACATTGTATTAATGTAAACAAATGCTGTTTTTGTGTTACTAGACGATCTAGCGAGATATTGTTGAACAGACAGTAAGGGACAGTGATACTGAGATGTTGTATGTCAGTTTTTCATCATTATCTACCATATTACGACTGTAATTTACTTACTTATTTCAGCATTATCACATGTGTTGTAAATTGGGCGCCTGCCATCTTTCTTACGAAGAAATTAGTCATGTGACATAAACATTGTTGTTTTACAATTGATAAGATCGAAATAACACTGTCCGTGTCCTCAAATATTCATAATTGATACTTAAATGTTATTTTATTGCAGTATTGTCATTTAATTATGCTGTACTTGACGAAATGTTTTGGAACTTGAATGTGTAGCGTAATACTTATGTGTTTGCATTATTGTTCGGTATTACTACGCCATGGATTGTGTGTGTCCGTTTTATTACAGATTGTTTGTTGAACTTGTTTTCTAATGTATATCGAATAGAATTTATAGCTCCCACTTTACATGTAGAAAGGACATTTTGAGCGATGTTATTTTCTTTGTATTACACAAAATGTATGTAAAGTAGTTCCGAGTTGCTCCAGAAAGGACAATTATTCATTGGTTGTTGTGATCACGTGACCATTTATGGAAGGTTATATATATGAGCAGCGAACGCCAGTTTCATCACGACGATCGTAACGATCAGATCATATTACGTCATCAACATCACTGACTGTAAATTACTAGTGACTTAGGTAAAAGAAAATAATGTAAACTAATACAAATTAAGTAGTGTATAATTTCTCCACCGCACGGACACCGCAATCCACTGTGTTTTATTAGGCCAGAGATGTTAAGCTAGGACT